TTTAATTCTTTGCACTGAGGAAGAGCTCTGCTCCTTACATATATTGCCCTGAGAAACAGAATCTGCATATGAATTTTGTCGTTCTGTTCAATGAATTTTCGAAAGAGGTTTCATACAGAATAGATAAATACGCACAGAGAGAGAGAGAGAGAGAGCAAGAGAGTATGAAAAATGGACGAATCCAAAGCATTGATCATTTGTTGTGCTCAGCCAACATTTATCGATGAATATGTACTTACCCCATAAACCATTCAACGGTGTCTCGCAGATATTCAGGAAGTCGCTCCAGTTTGACGGCGTTTCTTTTACTTTTTCAACTGCAAAATGTGTGTGATTTTTGCGAATTTTGAATTCGCTAGCTGTGGCCTTTCTGTGGTTGTCGCCTATACAACGTGTACGTTTGTATGTGTGAGTGTGTGTGTGTGTCGTTGTTGTCGTCGTAAGCCTGTTACTCCAAACACAACACCGTTTAACCCAGATCACAGTATCCACCGATGTACAACACCATTCAGCTCAGCAGCGCTCAGTCCCAATTTTGAACGTTACAATAACAAATGAAGTCTTTCTTTTCTGCACTGCATTCACTTTTATTTTTAATTTTCGTTAACGTTTTGTGCCAATATGTTGACCACACAACTTTTTATTGCTACGCACTAACACATATAAATTGTCAAAATCCTGTTTGTCGCATATTTTTTGTTTTTAAAAGAGCATCAGTCAATTTTTCCTTCGTTTTGAAATTGATTTTCTTTCAAATTTCGCACAATTAATTCACACTTTTGACAACATTATCGATTCGTCACACTTTTCATTGGGTGTGTTTCATTTCATTTTCAGCGTTCTGTAAAAAGAAAAAAAAAGTGACATTTTTAACTGGACATTTTTTTGTATTTTTCCTCAACAAACATTCTACCAATTTAAAAAAGGAGCAATTCAATGGTTATTTTACATTAAAAAACACACTCTCTTCCATTATCAAGTTTTGATTTCCAAACTGCAATCGTTTGCTATTCGAGTAACTTATTCAATATGTTAATTAATGGCTTTAAATTGTTCAATTTCATTTAAAATGGATTCTACCGCAAAAACAATTCCACCAATTTTCACCAAGTATATTGGTTACAATTGAAAACGAGACTAGAAGCTCTTAAAAGAGACACCAATTCACATTGGTTATTGGAGTTTTAATTAACCACTTTAATTAACCTCTACGTTGAATACATACACAAACCGTCAAGAGAGAGAGGAAGAGCAAAAATGCGATAGAAAGAGATGAATAAGCGAGATACGCATTGTCGCTCTTGGTTTGATATTTATAGTGTATCGAGTGGATCACTATCAAACCGGATATGCAATCAAAAATAAAATATGCGAAATTGATTTCATTCTATATAGATTATCGGTTACACACACATACATTTGAGTACTAAAACTATGGTTATCAAATTACCAAACCATAGTGTTTTTCGTTTTTCGGGCATAAACATCGCACATATACTATTTTCACTTTAATCAATTATGTGAAAATAGCTTTTAACCGAATTTACCAGTTGCCTGATATGCTCAACGCACTGGTTATTGATTATATTATACGGCGATATATAGTCAAATGGTGTTGGCATTTCGAATCCTGTGAGCATGGATGATATAAATTTTCGGATGGATCATCACATAAATTGTGTTCAATTGCTCTCATTTTGCACGTGCATATATTGGGTTGTGTGGCGCGTGAGGGATGCTATTGGATTTGATGCAAAAAAAAGAGAATCACTTTAATCAAATTACCAGATTGATTGATTCGACAAAATAAAACGATTTTTTTCATTGATTTTTCTCTCTTCTAAAAATACACCCTTTGAATTGAACGAATAACAGTGAAAAACAAAAAACCACTTTATGGTCAAGTGTTTTTTTATTATTGTTGTTGCTTTGCTTCGAAATGAAACGCGACGTTGGAATAATTGAACAGAAAAAAAGAAAACCAAACAGAATATTAAATGGAAATATTCAATCGATTCTTGGTATTCTATTTCCATTCTGTTTGTCTCTCAATTCTATGCGGTTGGCTAATGTTGCATCCGTGTTGAATTTCTTTGGAGGTAAATAATTTGAAACGGTGTGAATTAGTATGGCTTCAGTTCGTATCGGTTCTTTGGGGGCGATTGAGCCATCTGCAACTAAACTTGTGCTTAGACTTTCCGATTCGTTCGCTTGAATTTTTGCGCTCTCGCGATTTCGTTTAACTCACTAATTATTAATAAATAGTTTTTCATTCGCGATTTCTCTCTTGTTGTTCTCATTCAAATGGTTTTACTGTGAAACTCTACTTTACTCTACTCTATGATTCGGATATTCAGCCACCATCACCATGTACACACACGCACATACACACACTCTGCATTGATTTTGTATTATCGATACATTTGTTGTATTTCTCATAAGTCTAATGTTGTTTATTTGAATTACGGTGGTTCAGATAAGCGATGAGAAGAAACATACTGAACGATTGAATGTTGATTGTTAACGAAGAGGTAAAAATCTATAAAACAAAAGTTCAGGAGAAGAGCAAACGCGAAAACCCCTCCAATACATACAATTTCAATTTCACTTACAGATCAAACAAAATGATTTTTCTTATTTTCCTTTTTATCTATTGTTGTCATCGCTGTTGGTCGGGGATATGGAGCCCCATAAATTTTGTGAATTCAATGAGAACTTCAGGTGGTTGAAATTGATTTCAGATCTTATTTTTTCACGATTTCGTTTTGCATTTGGCCCATTCAGTGACACATGATGCAAAGACACACAGCACCGTTCCTTCTACTTTGTTTGTTTGTTTTTCGTTTTTCAGATTGGCATTAAAAAAAAAATCTTTCACTGGTCACTCAAAGTCAATGGATAACACATGGTTTTTTTCCTCTTTCCATCGAACGTAATGAACAAGAAACGAAAAATGAAAATTGAAACTAGAGCAAGTGAACAAAACGATTTTGTTTGAGAAAAAACTTTTGTTCGAATTAAATATTCTCACTTTGACAGTAATGTTTCTTAACAATTTGTTTGGCTAATCAGGAAAGTAAAACACACTCACACTCTTATTAATTCTCATGAAATGCACCAAAAAACTTTACTTTAAAATCAAAAGACACACACGAAAACTGTGTTTGAGTGATAAAATAAAAAGATGTACAACGCAAAATTCAAAACAACAATGAATTTTGCGATTTGAACATGGAATTTATTTGATTGTTGTTATATTTTGGCGATGATTCTTTTGAATTTGTCAAATTCAATCTTTCCGAAAAAATCAGTAGCCAGTAATGTGTGGATAATATTCTTTTTTTTTATCTGTCTTCTCTCACAAATTTTCGCATTCGTTGCGAATTAAAATCGAACCAATTATATTTTCTTGTATTTATTTAGCACATTCACACACTGACGTACTTTTTTTTAATGCCTCAATGATAATAACAATAAAAATAATAAAATAGGAAACGAAAAAAACGACGTATCGTGCATGTATATGAAGCAAAGAAAGTAGAATTTTCACTTCTCGAATAGCCTTTGAACGCAGTAATAGCACTCATTCATTCACGTATACATGTATTTTAGATGAGCATAAGAGCACAACACATACACATATATATATCGCACATATACATAACCAGCAGCACATATGGGCTCTGGATATTTTGACAGATATGCATGCAGTGTGTGTTTATTCGATTCGTTATGTTGTCAAAAAATGTGAACCACAACACTCATACAAACGCACACACATACACACTAACAAAACGCACTCAAACGAACTTCACCAAATCTCGTTCGATTCGACGTTTATTTTGGTAACCTGCTGATTGTAATTAAAATTTTATTTTTTAATAAATCTCACGCGTTCGCTTATCAATGCATTTTTGCATTATAATTGACACATGCACAATAGTTGATTGAACATTTGTTTGGCTAATGTTGTTGTATCATATATATTTTTTTGCATTTGAATCAATATCTAGTTTCTTCGTCAACAGACAAACTCATTTAGGTAAACGAAAACAAAAGGTTTCAATTGCGTTCAGTTGTTTTCAATTGGGTACATCGTATGCAAGTGATGTGTGTGTGTGTGCGTGTGTGTCTTTGTGTAAATGAATGTATAAGTGTGTGATGTCAGGCCATTTTCTGAGGTGAGTTTCAGCAGTAAGTGCGTATGTTTAACACTTTGGTGAATAAATCACACGCAATTGCATTTTACCCGTTTAATTTCAACTTCAAATTGGAAAACGTTTCACCCCCGAAAATGATTGTTTTTAATTCGTTTGATTATTTACAGCAATCAAGCTCATGTACATCTCGTTTATTTGGTAATATGTAAATGAACACATTTTTGTGCAATTGCAATTTGTGCGAGCAATTTTCAAATAATAAAATGTTGTAATTATATAAGAATTTTGTATGGTGGTGAATTATAAAATCATTGCACCGAATATTTGTAGCATATTTTACCATGAATTTATTGAAGAAATCAGAAATACTCAAAACACATAAGCGAATAAATTGTTAAATTATGAATAATATTTGCCAAACATGTTGCAATTCTAAAATGACACACACACCACATTCGAACAATGAATCGATTTATTTTTCTAAAAATGTCAATGCACATGCTTTCAAACAGTCACTCTCTCTCACCAGTGGTGCTCTGTGGATTTAAGCAAGGATACAAATTCCAATGACCGAACAAAAATCCGATTATTTTGAAAAACTTACTCTTTTATTTTTATATCGAAAATTCGTTTAGTTAAATTGACATTACGATTGACTGATATTGTGGTCGAATTGTTTGTGGTTGTGCAATCGTTTCGATCCGGTATGACATTTGTATAATGAGAATGTTAAAAACAAACAACAAAACGAAGAAAATACGAAAGTAACACGGTAATGTTGACGTTCAGCGTCCTCTACTGGACATCTGTCACATACATTCAATCCGAACTTACAATTACTGTTCTTATTGTTGTTTTGATTTGTCAAATCTCATTCAATTTTTTATTTTTATTTTTCATCTATGATCGCATTGTTTTTGCAAACAACTGAAACCGTACGGAAATCAACGAAGCAAAATCAAAGAATTTCATGTTGCATTGCGAACGAACTTGTTATAAAACATATTTTGAAACGGTGTCATATGCACGATAGTGAGTGAATGAGAGAGAGATTTTTCCCGAAATGACATAAAAAATAACGCTCGACGATATTTTATCATGTTTTGTTATCAGTAATTTAAGAAGAAGAAAAAAAGATCGTGTGCCATGTTCCTACGTTAGCCGCTTAAGCATATCAAGTCAAATGGTTGCGTTGATTAGTTAGTCTTGTGTTGTTTTTATTCTCTTGAAATTTCCGTTTTCGATCATTTTAGTTGTTTTTTTTTTATTTGAAAGAAAACAATAAAACTACGTTATTTTCTTAATTTCCCAAATGTGTGCAAACTAATCAAAATTAAGAGTGTTATTTCTCTGTATTTGCAACGGTTGTTTTTTTTGTGTGTCATATTTATGTTTATGCGGTGTAAAATATGAATTATTTGATTGTGATTTTAATCGTATGCCACGTTAATCTATTATTTGTCACATCTGCCGATGTAAAGACAAAAAATGATGAGCATTCAAAGCAATCGATCGAAGTGCCAAATGATATAAATGCAGAATATACAAAACCACCGACAATTTTAATTGTCACATTATTTCGGAATAAGGCTCATATTCTGCCATTGTTTTTAACGTATTTGAATCGCATCGAATACCCAAAGCAGCGCATTTCGTTATGGTAATCCCTAAATAACATTTAATTTTTTGATCTTTTTAATTAAGAATGATTTTTTTTAAAACTCCGTTTGTTTTAAAAATCAATTTAAGAACAGAAAGAAAATACTGATTTCGTTACAGGCTTCGCTCCGACCATAATGAAGATGAAACGATTGAGGTCTTAAATGCATGGCTGCACAAATGGTCTAGCGAATATCATCATGTTAATGTTCAGTATGATAACACGACCAAACGACGTGACTTGGAAACATCTCAAACACATTGGCCCGATGAACGCTATTTGGATGTGATTCGAATGAAAGAAGAGGCCCTGAATTATGGCCGAAAAATGTGGGCCGATTATGTTTTCGTGAGTAAATAATTTAAAATTTGAAGACAAAAAAATAGTAAGGTAGTGAAAATGTATGCATTTATCTTGAATTTATTGAGAAAAAAAAAACTCTTCAAGACTGCATTTAGAATGAAAACAAAAAAAAAACAAATTTTCTTTTTTAAATTTTTAGTTCCTTGATGCCGATGTGCTTCTGACCCGTCCAACAACACTCACCGAATTGTTGAGTTTTGATGTGCCAGTTGTCGCACCTATGCTCATGTCCGATGGTCTCTACTCAAATTTTTGGGGTGGTATGACGTCCGAATACTATTATCAACGTACCGAAGACTATAAAAACATTTACAATTACAATCGTCGTGGTCAATTCAATGTGCCAATGGTGCACAGTGCCGTGCTTATCAATTTGAATGACAGACGCAGCGATACGTTAACCTTCAACAAAACAATTTTGGGTGCACGTTTTTCGCTCAACGATTATGATTTATCAAAAATACCAACGGATGACATCATTATATTCGCATTATCGGCAAACTATTCTCAAATGCCGTTAAAAATCTCAAATGATTACCTCTATGGGTATGTAAGTGTGCCATTGGATGCGGATGATGACATTGACAAAGATTATAAACAATTGATCAATTTGAAAATTATGATTTTAAACGATGAATTGAATGGTTCAATTGACGTTGAACCAGAACTTGAACGATTCAACGAACTTCCGTCGATGGACAAAATGAGTTTGGATAAAATTTTCATGATTAATTTACTGCGGCGTCCAGAACGACGCATTAAAATGGAACGAAGTTTTAAAGAGCTTGGATTGAATGTTGAACACGTGGCTGCAGTCGATGGAAAGAAATTGACACAAGAATATTTGGATGAAATTGGTGTAAAATATTTGCCGGGATATTCGGATCCATTCCACAATCGACCCATGACCAAAGGTGAAATTGGTTGCTTTTTAAGTCATTTTATGGTGTGGGAAAAACAAGTGGCACAGAATTTACAGGAAGTTCTTGTACTTGAAGATGACATACGCTTTGAGCCGTATTTTAAGCAACGAGCAATGCATTTACTTGATGAAGCTCGAAAAATTGGTGGATGGGATCTAATGTAAGAAATCAAATCACTTAGGTTTTACGATAAATTCCATTTTGCGTTTATTTGACAGATACTTTGGTCGCAAGCGACTATTAAAAAAGAACGAGATGTGGGTAGATGGTTCCGATTACTTAGTTCATGCAAGCTACTCCTACTGGACACTTGGATACGTTCTCTCACTTGAAGGAGCTAAAAAACTTTTGGGTATTTATTTGTGTTTTTGGTTATTTGAAATTTGGCCGATTGATAAGAAAAACCAAAGAAAATATTTTTAAAAAATTGACAAATCTCACTTTAAAAGGAAAAATAATTGACGGTAATATTTTAATTTTAGCTGCAAAACCGCTTGAAAATTTGATACCAGTCGATGAATTTCTGCCAGTTATGTTCAATCAACATCAAAATGAGACGTGGAAGAGTGCTTTTCCCAATCGAAATCTGGTTGCATGGAGTGCGGCTCCACTTCTACTCTTTCCAACGCACTACACAGGCGACGACGGATATTTGTCGGATACCGAACCGTCGGAAGAGTCTGACATCATCAATGTTACTGGTAAATATTTCACACAGACACTAATTTCGCAAATGACAAATTTCGGTCCGAATAAACTAATTTAAATTCGAAATTCCATAACAAAATATTTGTCATCGACCGAAATAACCAGAGCAAGTGTCAATCATTTTTAATTGTTCAATTTAGTAAAAACGACCAAATGCGATTGATATTGATTTTAAAGATGGTTTTTTTCACATTGATTGAAACTACATTAGTAGAAAAAAAAAGCAATAACAAATATATAATTCCAATTTTAGGCGACGAGACAATGGAGAAAAAGGGCAACAAAGAAGTCAGTAATGGCAGTCCTTCGGATCAATTGCAAAAATCAATGGACAACACAGTGGATCAAAATTTAAATGTCAATGCCATCAACAATGCATCGATCGACACTTCGTTCTTTATAAATAATGTAAATGATCACGCAACTATCCAGCATAAGTCATCATCCGATCAGCACACGGAGCTATGATACAAAAAGTCAATTGAAAATTAAAAGAAACGAAAACGGTGAACGTTACTTGCCGCACCAAATTCTATTTCTCAAAAGTCGCAAAGTGCCTTTTTTTGTAAATGCGTCAATTATTTCTGTTTTTTTCGCTTTTGAGCATTGCAAATGCTTCGATATATTTTCTCTCATACACTGTATTCTATAAAATATATAATAATTAAGTAAAAGCCATGACCAATGAAAATCAGACAGTCTGCATATGCATCTTATTTAATGAATCTCCAACGAACATGAAGAACAAAAAGAAAAGCCATATGCATTTTCAATGTGTAAAATTTTATTGAAGTAAACAATTATTTTTAGGAACAATTTTACATATCCAATAAAAACGATCGATTCGAAAAATGAGAAAAATCGAGATTTTATTTCATTAATTTGCTATTTTGTCTATGACTTCACAAAAAAAAAACTTTTTAAAAAAGTATTGGTGAACTTAAATATCTTCGACTTTGGTTGTGTGCGTATTGCATCTGAATTTACTTGGAACCATTTTGTTCGCTCCAGTTCATTTTATTCGGTGTTGGTGGCAGTTGATTGAGCATTTTATTATCAACGTCATTGAAATCGATAACGATACGTTTGCAAGTTGGTTTGTATTGCGTGTACTTGATTCCGGCTGCGTCAAGCATTCGCTTCGATGCAATTACCTCAGGTTTGTGTGCATGTTTATCCGACAAATAGATGATATCCTTAATGCGTGACTGAATAATAATTTTGGCGCATTCATTGCACGGAAACAATGCCACATACAATGTGCAATTCTTTAAATCGGCCGATAATTTATTGAGCACTGCATTCACTTCGGCATGACAAACATACATGTATTTTGAGTCAATCGCATTCGGTGTATTTTTACACCATGGGAATTCGTCATCGCTGCATCCCAACGGAAATCCATTATAACCAACACCAACGATTTTTTTATCTTCGTTCACAATACATGCACCGACCTGTGTGCTTGGATCTTTGCTACGTTTTGCTGCCAAAAATGCCATCGCCATAAAATAATCATCCCATTCGATGTAATCTATGGTGGATCAGACAAGAAAAATCGAATGAATGGAAATAATTGAGAATGCATAGCATTTTTAATTACCCTCACGCTTTTTTGACGGCGAACCATTTTGCACGATATTTTCTTCCATTTTTCGCACGAATCTATTTACACCTTCCACGTTTGGATCAACGACTATGAATATTCTTGTAACAAAAATAAACTGGTTTTGTTGTTGGTATTTTTATGGAATTGTCAAAAATACGCGGCAAAACACACTTTATGTATGGGTTTGAAATTGAATATTAAGATGGCGCACTGCATTTGCTTATTATTTCATAGTAAGATTTTATTTATTTATTTAAATATTTTCACTAATCCAAAAACTAAAAAAACTAAAGACTAAAGACACACACACACATGAAATCATTAACACAAAAAATAAAACAATATTATTGAAAAAAAGAGCTCAGTAGAGAGAGAGAGAGAGAGAGAGAGAGAGAGAGAGAGAGAGAGAGAGAATACTAGACGATATTTGACACGAATTGGCCGAATTACAAATGCTTTCAGTCAATGTTAATTTCTATTGTATATTTGAATAGTCTGAAGTATTTTTTAACGATCTACAGTACTTTGACCAATGTCAACAAATGACCATTTGTCGGAAAACGTAAAAAAATACATAAAATTTGTTAATTTTGTCTTTAATACATACATCAACGAGATTCGGTGAATATTTCATTATTATGGAAAAAATCGAAGGCAAAATTCGTTCAATTCTAAGCGAATCAATTGTGGGTTCAACGATTGCCAAATTCTGGCAAACCTGTCGTCATTCAATGTGCATCAAAAGCGGCATTTTATATAAAAACTTAAAGAATAAAAAAAAACTTTGTGTGGTCCACCAAGAAATAGATTGAACTATTGCGCCATTTTTGCTTACATATACATGCTTAGAGAACATCTGTCAAATATCTAAAATTGTTTGATTGAAGTGTCAATGTGATTGCGCCAAAGCTGTTCATCAAAACAATCGTGTAGTTGTTCTCACTTCTGGTGTTTTGTGTAGTAATATTCACAAGTGAAAAAAAAGTCGTGCAAATAGCATCATGTCGACATTGAGTGAAGCAGAGCTTGCTCGAATTGCCCGAAATCGCGAAAAGGCACGAAATATAAAAGCATCCAAGCTTTGTCTTCATCCGTATTCTCGTCCAAAATCCAATGAAAATGGCGAACAATCCAAGAATGAAACGGCAACGACAACAAAAAGGTAAAAGAAAACCATCAAAGTTTCAAATGTTTTGAATTTCAAATTCCATTGATCAGATCATTTAATAGTTTTTGTCTCTTTTTTTCATTGACTCAGTGTAACACGTGCCACAAAGCTAATTGACAGTGGTGGTGGTTTTCTCATTGAGCAAGAAATTTTTACCGAAACACCAGAATGTGTCGAAAAACCCGATGTAATTGAAGAAATCCTACCGATTCCTGTACAATACGATACATGTTTGGAATGTAATGAACAATTCATTGAGTCGTATCTGTTGAAGAATTTTGGTTATTCGGTTTGTGATAAATGTCGCGATCCGGACGACAAACATTCACTTATAACTCGTACCGAAGCCAAGAATGAATATTTATTGAAAGATTGTGATTTGGATAAACGTGAACCGCCACTCAAGTGTATCGTCCGCAAAAATCCACATAATGTCAGATGGGGCGAAATGAAATTGTATTTGCATTTAGAAGTGGAGAAACGAGCATTAGAAGTTTGGTATGTTGGATAGTTAAAAAAAAATACATTAATAATAGCTAACGAAGTCCTTTTGCTATCTTTGCTTCAGGGGTACCGAGGAGCGTCTCATGGAGGAGCGTGATTTACGTGATGAAAAACGCGATCGAGCCAAACTGAAGAAATACAACAAAAATATGAAACAATTGCGAATGGAAATGCGAAGCAGTTTATATGATCGCACAACACAGGCACCACATGCACATGAATACGGCGAAGAGACATATCACGAGGAAGAAGATAATTATACACACAAATGCACCATTTGCGGTTTTATTGAAACATTTGAAAAAATGTAAAAAAAATACTCAGCCCTCATCGGTCCACATAAGCAACATTAAGCAACCTTAAGCAACCCAAAATACATCTATATTATTTCTTAAAAGTAAATCTACTTATTGTCCTTAATATTATAAAATTTTGTACAAAAAAACACCGTGATTCAATAAATTTGCATGAGGTCACAAAAATTAAGCGAAAAATCTTCATTGTGTTTGTGTCGGTCGATTTTGTTTCATTACCTTTCTTGACTCCAAAAAAAAAAAATCGATAATACAGATTTCATACATTGTTCAATCAGTTTTTCTCATCTGTCAAATGGCTGTATACAAATTTGTCATTGGTCGTTTCCACGTGCTCTGTGTACACGATATTGAAGCGGGGAAGTGAATTTTTATTTCAATTTTGGATTCGATTTTAATTGAACGTGATAAAAAATTTGCGGTAACAACAAAAAATGGAAGAAGAACAAATTGAACAAGATCAAGCGGTCGTCAACTTTATTCCCTGCATATCGTTTGTGAAGCGTGGTGTTGCCAAAGAGAATCCAGACAAGGTTTCTATTGTTTACATTCAATTCAAAACATTAACGCAATTTCATTAAGTAAATGAAAATGAAAATGCCATCCATTTCAGGTGACTTTAACGCGAGAAGAATTAGCCAGAGTTATTTCGTCTACAAAAAAAGAGTTAGAGTAAGTTTTAATTTTATACACCACAATGCTTTGAGCGCAAAGAGAATTGATTTGTTTTGTGTTCATTTTTAGTGACGAGGAAAATGAGGACGATGACGACGAAAACGATGAAAATATGGACACTTCTGATGGTGTCGAACCACAGTCACGAAATCCAGACGACGAGTTCAATTTTGCCGACTACGATGAAGAAGGTAATTTCCAGAATACCGCATTTTTTTCTCTTTGTGTGTTTATTTTTAATGCAACAATTGTGATTATAATTTCAGACGCAACTCAAGTGGCTGCAGTGAGTGATATAGCTGTCGTTGATCCGGATGAGCACATCAGTGACGGAGAAGATTCAGAGGCTGAAGATGATCTCATCAAACCGACAGACAATTTACTACTTGTTGGGCACGTTGATGACGACGCTTCATCGCTGGAGGTGTACGTTTATAATGAGGAAGAAAACAGTTTTTATGTACATCATGATTTTCTGTTACCAAGTTTTCCACTTTGCATTGAATGGATGAATTATGATCCAGAGAGCAAAGATAACGGCAATATGTGTGCCATCGGTTGTATTGATCCGATCATCACAATTTGGGATTTGGATATTCAAGACACGCTCGAACCGGCTGTTAAATTAGGTTCAAAAGGCAAACGAAAAAAGGGCATCGAAAAATTTGGACATACAGATGCTGTATTAGATTTATCTTGGAATACAAATTTTCCGTAAGTAAATAGCTCAAAGTGCGTTTTAAAATGCTCATAAAATGATAAAAAAAAAATTTTGTTTCAGACACATTTTGGCAAGTGGGTCCGTTGATCAGTCTGTAATTTTATGGGATTTAGACGAATTGCAGCCACATACCACAATTCGTGCATTCCAAGAAAAAGTGCAATCAATTAAATTCCATCCGACCGAAGCGCAAATGCTATTGACTGGCAGTTGTGATGGTACTGTTAAATTGTTTGATTGCCGTGATCCAAGCGAAATCGATACGAGTTTCAAACAATGGTCATTCACTGGAACCGAAGTGGAACGGGTCTACTGGAATCCACATAATACAAACTACTATTTTGTTGGCCTAAACAATGGTTTCATTCACTATTGTGATATTCGTCAAGAGGGCAACAGTATCTGGAATATACAAGCACACAGTGATGAAATCAGCGGCATTCTCGTCAATCATATGCAAGACGGTATGCTCACCACCACATCGGCCGATGGTGTTCTGAAAGTATGGCGATATAATTCAAGCACAGCTCCAACATTAATTCATGAAAATGAAGTTGGCATCGGTCGTATTCAATGCGCAGACATTTCTTATGACAATGGATTTACGTTGGCCGTTGGCGGTGACAACAAACAAAAACAACTTCGTGTCATTGATGTTCGAGATTTCGAAGTTGTTAAGCGACAATTTAACGCATAATTACGATACAGAAATTCTTATTTTTGTTTATAAATAACCAAATGAAATTATTCATTATTTTTTTAAATCAATTTAAATAAAATCACTTTTTATGTTTTCGAATTGAAGAAGATGTGTTATTTTTCTTAAAGAAAGAATGACTATGAAATTATAACAGTTTTTTGTACCATTTTTATATGACCTGCTCCACTCGCATTTATTCTACATTTGTGAACAGCTTTTATTGGGCTGAAGCTTTGAATGTTAATTAGATACGAGTGGAGAAATGGTATAAAGCGTTGAGTTATTCAAATTTACTCATTTTTTTCTACTGGGTTTAATACAAACATTTTTTATGGATCGCCATACGCTGGATACTTTACCGGAAACAAGTTCATTATTTCGAAAGCCGAGACAATTGAAAATATTTTCTTAATGAGAACGATGATTTAATTATTTGGCGCGGTTGCCAGTAACGACATCTTGCTTTTCGCTTTTAAAACAAAAGCTTTTTTCCAAGCTCTTGTCAAACTGTATCTCGAAGCTCCAGCATTGATAAACCATTTTCGCTACAAGATTTTTTCAAACAAATGCTAAATAAAAAAGAAAATTCAAAATTTTTCGATATTTATAAATTGCTTTTGTGATATAACAAGAAAATAAAACACATTGGATTTAGTTTGACGATTGTTTGGATGTATTTAGTTGTTAAATGCGCACATGCAAGTCGCTTTGTACAATGTCAATGTCAGCTGTGAACTGTCCAAAATATGTGATGCGACTTTAGCGCACTTTCATCGCCAAGGGAAGATAGCCGAGTCGTTAAGGTCTCAACCAGCGGCGGGATGAGCTGGTGCTATAAGTGTCTTCTAGATGCATGCCTCTTGGAAGTGCTTTGATGCAATATCTCAAAGGGCGGAAAAAGGTCAGTCCCCAATTATACCTAATTATCGTCTCTCTCTCTCCGATAAGCGGCCTTTTTCTTGTAATTTCATTTACCATTTTCTATGAAAATCCAATTTTTTTCACAGTTCCGATGGTTTTTTCGAATCGAGGTTCGAATCCTGACGTGGCAAAAAAAAATTTTCGCCATTTTTTTTCTCGATTTATGTTTTTATATTGATTTTTCAATAAATCTGTTAGGAAAAAGAATTTTGTTCAGATATTACAAACATAGGCTTTATTTTTTGAAAATAGTTCAATAAAATGTAAAAAATGAAAAAAATAAATCATAACGCTTGAATCTATCCAGCCCTGAATATTTTTTTACAAAAATATACACATATCGCACACATATGGTCGTGTATACATGCCGTCATATGTGTACATATGTGTATACTATTTCTCCTCCATATACAATGACACAAGTAACACAATGAAATAACGCTAAAAAATAAATCGATTTTTGCTTTCGGAAATTCACGAAAAAATATTTAAATGAATAAAAAAATACAATTTTTTAAAACACAATCTTCGATTGAAACATGAATTTCGTAGTGAAAATACCCGAATTTGATTTACACGAAGTAGATTTTTTGCTTTTGAATTTCATTTAGTTTCTTGTGTTTGTTCGGAGGTGTATCGTATTTTAATAAGTACAAATTATTACTTACGAGAAAATCGAGATTTTTAAATCGCCAGAAATTCATTTACACTCGATAACGAATTTTAGAAATGAATAAGAAAGGACTGGATTTCCAACCATTTGACGAAAGCACGAGCCATCATTCTCAACTAAGATGTAATTTAGTTTCACTTTGGATTTGAGTGTGTGATGTCTATACACGCCGAAAGCAGAACGATGACTGAATTTCATTCATATGTGAATACTCAACGCTCGTTCTTTGTGTGAATGAAGGGGAATAGAGCAGCTGTATCGTATGATGCTCATACACAATAATAAAACACACACTATGTTCGTGATACAGCTGAAATTAGCGGCATATATGAGATTGCGCACAGAAAAAAAATCAAACATATTTCTTCGATGAATCTATTGTTGAAATTTGTTCAATATGAAATTTTCGGATTATCGCCATATGCGAGCTAGACGAATATCAACAACAGATGAAAGAATATTTTTAATATAGGCATTTACTTTGTTAGCTAGAACAAAAATTACTGAAATAATAATATGAATGTGCGATTGTTTATATTCACTTTGTTGGACCTGGAAAACTACTTCATTTAAACTAATTATCAAAAACGAAATTGGTTTATGCTTTGTTAACAAAATTTTATGGCACCAATTTCAGATCCATTCAATTCAATCGCTAAAAAATAAAATCTAATATTGATTGCACACTTTTACAATTCATAGAAATTTAAAAAAATGCACAAAAGCAGTTTGTGCTTCTCAATAAATCGTCTGAATGTTTGTGGTCGTCGTTAACAATGTATTCAGATTTAATGTCAAGAAACAAACAAAAATGTGAATTTTGTTTTTAATCACGACGGTTTTGAAATGAAATTTAACCGTCAATCAGAGTGGACAAACGATTGTTTCAATATTTTATCGAATTTCATTGTTTCGACCACTTTGAAATTTGCCACGCTGAAATGATTTTTTTTTTTTTTTTTTTTTTGAAAAATCACAATGTTTCAAGCGATGAAAAAAAATCTCAAACAACATCGGAAAACTAAACAATTGGATCAAAGGAAATCAAGTTTTTCGAAGCATGTAGCTGGCAAAAAAGTGAAGTGGCATATGGCCAAAGCCACTAAAAATCGAGGAATTTGTTAAATTTTCATATATTTATTATTCATAAATACTTTGCTTTGAACATTTTAAATTCTGCTAACAATTCTCTGTACAACTTTCAAATAAATATTTAATTTTTACACACAAAAAGAAAAAGAATAAATAAATACAAACAACAACAAAAATAGTTAATAAGAAATGAACATAAAAAGTCATTTCAATACTTTTTAAATGATTGGCGCAATTGGAGCAAGTGGTGCAATTGGTGCAATTGGCTGTAATGAAAATGATAAAACGAAAAAATTCATCAGAACAAAAAAAAAATGGTTAAAAAAATCCATTCCTTACCAATAGACCCAATCGCGTCTTGAGACCAGCAAGCTTCACTTGGAGTGGAAGAAGTGTGTTCGTTTTGAGGAGATCTGTGTGAGAAATAAAAAAAAGAACAAATGAATAATGAATGTCAGATAAATTGCATATATAACAATGCAATATTTGTAAACATGCAATTGAAACTTACTCTTTTGAAGTCCGAGATTGGTTCTGAATGCTCCAAGATTGATGGCTCCCAATTGGAGTGGCAAAAACTTCAATCCAAGTGGTGCAAGTGGTAGTAAAGCTTGTCCAACTGTTGGTTCGGTGGATGATTCGTCTTTCTTGGATCCATCTTTACTCGAATCATTGTCGGCTAATTCAATAACGGCTGCAACACCTGATTCATCAGCAGAATCACTGTCACTGTCACTGTCGGCTTCACGTTTGTTCAATTTTTTGTCTTCATCGGCGTCTCTTGACTTGCTGGATGATTCATCATCGGCTGATTTATCTTCAGTTTGTTGTGATTCATCGGCAGCTTTGCTTTCGGCTTCAGGTGATTCGGCAATGGCTTCAACAGTCTCTACTGCAACGCTTTCCTCTTCTTCTTTTGGCGAGAAGATGGTAATTGTTGATCGTTTCTTTGGATCGGTTGCTTTGCGTGCAACTGAATCTTCCGACAATAAACTACGAACAAAACGGCTACCAGATTGTCCTTGAATCAATACTTGAAATGGAATATTTGCCTCTTCACAATTGGCTTGCATGTCTTCCACACAATTCACATCTGTTGATGAAATGAGCAACGAATGAGAAGAGCAAACAATGCAAAATGGGAAAAAGAATGAATGATTAATAACTCGTTTGATCCGAAATAAGTCGACACTCACTTTCATCATCTTTATTATTGCATTCACAAATACACTCATCACCACAATAAAATCCAATACATTTACATAATTTACATAAATCCTTACATTTTTGATCTTCCGCCACTTCGTTCCGGAGTGGAGTCGCCTGAATGTGGCACACGGCACAAATAACGACGATGAAACACAATGCAAAACTGATTTGATTCATTGTTATGCGAAAATGTGGAATCACTTGCTGCCAAAGACAATGGAACTGCACAAAATACGACTGAAGAAAGTCAAATGGAAAATGTTTCGACTTGAACAAGTTAAATGTGATAATTCACTTGAACACTGAATACTCAATGGTTGCCAATTTGAAATGTGTGCCATTTTATATAGCGGTCATATTGTTTATTATTTGCTCTGGATTGCATTTGTCAACTCTTTTTTCTTTCATACACTCACCTTCAATTCGACGCGATGTAAGCAAATTATTATTATATTTTTTTTGTTGTTGGCTTAACGTATCTCAGGTCTTAGCAAATGACATTCGAATAAATATTTTGCACAAAAACATATGCGTATGCATTTTCTTCTAGTTATGGCTTTCGTTCATGGGCCAAAAAAATATGTCTTTTCCGGGAGACAGAGACATGCAGATTTTATTACAGTATACCACCAGTAACCGCAATGCAACATATATTACTCACGTTATTGTTTTCATTTGAATGTTGTTGTTTTTTGCCATTTGTTAATTTATCATTTCTGGTTCAGTCACCTCGAGCTACATCTGCAACAATTGACCTGGTATTTGGCGCTTCATGCACAAAAAACGATCAGAATCATTTCTTAATTTTTTTTTTTTTTTTTTTTTTTTTTTGAGGAAATCCTCATAAGACTAGAAAAATCATTGAATGTTCAAAAATCTAAGGAGACATAGAAACACTGTATTTTTCCTGATTTAATATTTGTTTTATTCATAGTTCATAGTATAGTCATTTAGCTCTAAAATATCCAATAATTTCGAACGTATCATCCAATAAAACACACGTTTAAAAATAAATAAGGTATTTTTTTTAGTTTTGTCATGCAAGATTTAGTTTTATTTTGTTTTCTTTTTGTGTGTTGTGTGCCTCTACTAGTAGATTGTATTATAATTAATGTGTGTTTTTTTCTTTGTCCTTATGAAAGTCAGCAACAAAGATCTAATTTCTCTCTCAATAATCCGTATTTTGTGTCTCGTTTTCATTTACTTTTTTTGGATAAAGTATTGAATTTGATGAAAAAGATTCGGGAGTAGCGGAAGTGTGATAGCACAAAAACGAACGAAAATAAAACTTTTCGATGAACATAAGATACATTTTTAAGCGATTTTTCTTTATATGATAAGTTTATCGTAAGAGGGTGGAGAGTCGTCAATCTTTGGGTTATCATTCAAAATGGCAATGTGATATGGCGGAGGTGGAGCTATTGGGTCAATTACATTCGGAACCTGTAAATAAAGCAATATATTTGATACATGAGTGAAATAAATGGAATATACAGTTTGAACGTTTATCGTAGTATTTTCATGGTGAAATTTCATTTTTAAAAATGGGAGATTTTTACATGTGGTTCATGCTGGTCCAGATGCGCTATTTCAATATCGTTCACATTTGTTGTGACAGCACTTAGCTGGGGAGGTGAAATACTCAAGTTACGTGGTCGACGACACAATGAAACTGTACAAGCAGCGACAAAAAATGTCGCCGAAAAAGCACAAAAGATCAAAATCTCTAAACCGCTCCCTTGAAACGCTGCACGGAAAACGATGAGAATAAATTGTTGAAAATCAAACATTAAAAAAATTATTATTGAAATCAATGAAACAATACAAACCTGCCAGAAAAACTGTAGCCAATGCAAGCGATGCCCACATACCACACTTTAAATGACTGGGTAAAACTTGTGAATCCGTTGAATTTACAGCGTCCACAACATTTGCACGTTCATCAGCCAAAATTTCATTCGACGGTTGAATTGCATTCATTCTTAACGTTCCTTGTCCCAATTCGATTGGCAAATGTGATTGACTGTATTAATTTCAGGCAAAAGTCATGTAAAAATTACGAAAATGGTAAAAATGAGAAAAATATATTCGATAATGTGCTTACTATTGGTGTAAAACAGGAAAATCGGCTGGTTCACCGTATGATGTGTTAACCTCAGCATGTGTTTGAATTTCATGATGTGCACGAGATGTATGATGCTGATGATGCTCTAAATTTAGATCAAATTAAATCGAATTTAATTGAATCATTATCAGTATAAACTTTTGATTAGAAAATTTCAATCAATGCCATAAAACATTGTAAAGTCTTCATAAATGTCATTGTTTAATTAATGATAGCTTGTGTCTTCTGGGTGTCATTCAGTTTTCCAAATTAAGATTTATAGTATACAAACCTTGATGATGGATATTTGAACGATGGACGTTGGGTCGATGAACATTTGGTCGATTCACGTTTCGACATTCTGTATTTGGAAACCGATGAACTGGTGTTAGCATTGATTTATTCCGTCGTGGTGGATGATAAAAATCGTATCCGCTGCCTGACAACGAGGCGGCCACACTAAGTCGCAAATTTGTAAGTGGTTTTTTTTTTTGTTAATTTTCGAGAATATTCATTTAATTTCATAATAAAAAATTAATGGTTTTTATTTGATATAAATAAATTTAACTTACAATCCTGCTCTGGCTCGTCCAAAGCCACATGCTTGTGATCGTTTATCGATCCAAAAATGCATCCCAATCACTTTCTCTCTGTATCTTTCGCTCTCTGTATAATTTGTATGTGTGTATATTAAATTTATTTGCAATTGAGCCTATCTGAATGTTCTTAATATTTAAGCATTTGAACTCATTTCAAATTGAATCAAATCAATTCGTGAATTATAAATGTGTTCAGAGTGGAAGATTTTTCAATAACCATATTATGTCTTTTGTATTCTTTGTATCCAGATTGTTGTGTTTGCATTGAATAATGTTACTTGATTTGAAAAATTAATTAATACAATTGTTTTTCGGACATTATTCACATTCAATGACGGCAAATAATTGGATCATTTATTTATGGAAAATTTAATGGATTACATTTATGCAAAAATATGATTAAATGTCGATAATTTAAAAAAGATACAAGTCAATACATTGAAAATGCAACAATTTGATTTTTTTTTTTGTTATCACTTGAACACTTTAAAATTGTTGGATTTTTTTCGTCTATCACACACATTAATAGAATAGAAAGCACAAAATCGGAGAAAAATTCGTTCGTTTACATTATTATCTGTTGCGAGATCAATTGGTGACTGAAAATTATCTTAAAAATATGCCATTGTCCAGTCCCTCGAATTCAGTTGGTTTCATTGGATTTTTGGTCGACGCTTTTCGAAAAGCAAAAATGTCCATCACATTTTCTAAAGCGATTATTTCACGAAAAAATGATGTTCCATGTTTGCACTGTAATTGCTTGATTTATAAGACAAATGACTATTTATTGTAACGAACAGCATTTTTTCTATGTATTATTTTTTTCTATGGAAAATAAATGTTCTAATCGCAGATACGTCTTGTTCTTCTTTCAATGAGAAAGCGAAAAAAAAACAAAAATAAAAATCACGATCATATACAAAGTTCCAGGTTCGATATCCGCAGACTATGGAAGATATAACGTAAACAATAACAATAAACGTGAAAATGCTGTGGCGAATGGTGGAAAATTGATTTTTTTTGCCACTCGCTCTTTCTCTCACTCAGAGACTACTGCTACTTTGCATCTTTAGCGTGTATAAAATCCAGGAAACACAAACTTCACGTTTATTTTTAAATGCATCGAATTCAAATAATAAATGAGTTCTTTTATCTTTCCTCTTCTATCCACTTTCGAAAGTCGTTCTTCCTTTTTTTTCTCTAAATCTATTTATGTCGAAACAAAAAAAAACGAAACTGATTCAAGTAATAGAAAGTTTTTGTATTGTCTCGTCGTCGCCGTTGTTTTCGTCGTCGTCGTCGATACGAATCAACATTATTTTTGTTCCACTTATTTTTTTTTTTCACCAAAAAAATGATATATTTTAAATGGATATAGTCAATCGTTTCGGGTCGAAATTTCGTCTGCGACGTATTCGAAATCCGATTTAAACTTCAATGTTTATGTGTGTTGTATTCTATACTGTGCCATCAGCCATGATTTTCCAATGTAGTTGAATAATAAAAGAAATGAAGAAGCAAATTCGCGTGCTCGGATGATAGAAACGGAATCAAGAGGATGCAAGTTGAGAAAGTAGCTCGATGTGTGCTGTTGTATTGTGTGTGCTATATATTCGCAAATTATACCTGGGCAAAAAAGCACACGACACGAGAACACAGAATACAATATCAATGGAGAAAAAAAAAATATTGTGAGTGTCAACAACAACAAACGCATGGCGCTTGTACCACCAAAAGATTCATCGCAAACGGGCAATATAAAATATAATGTCAGTGCATGGATACACCGATTCCTGTTTCCATTCGACATCGGGTTAAGTTTACCAATTTTTCTATACGGTGCGCGACTCTGCCTTTGCGCATATCTATACATATATTTTGCAAATGTAGTAAAAATGTAATACAATACAGTGAAATATTGCCAACATCCGAATAAAGGCGAAAAGCTTTTTGCTATTCGAACCATTTAGACAACATATAGAGCAGAGGCTTTTCTTTAACGAATGCTATTATTCGCTTTTCATCTGAATCTCACACTCTCTTGTGCTTGTGTGAGCGTAACAGTTTCACTATGGGAAAATGGTCAAATGTTTGCCTTGTTTCGTTTGCCGATCGAAATTCGAATTTACGAAATAAATAGCCACTTCAAATGCAAAGACACAACTCCAAGCTAACACAAACAAACATAGATACACAAACACACACATTCTCTCTTTCTCTATGTCGCGTACATAGAAGCAAATGCACGAACAAACATAGAAAAATCGCATGAAATGCATTATCCTCTTTTCGGATGCTATCTCTCACCCTTTTGTTCGTATTTTGATAACATGCAATGCATTGCTCTTATGTCATCGTATTTATCCAGTAGGAGAGAAAAATGTATGAACACCCGATGTATCGATGTCATGTTGCTATTATTTTTCGGGTTTTCAGTTTCATGGTCATCGTTTAACTCAATATAACATTTTCATCAATATTGATAAAGAATATAATCACACAACCATCCACATCGTGTGATGGAAAGTGTGAGAGTAAAACAATACAACATAAGAGCAAAATCAGCAATGTGCAATTTGCACAAGTAAAATTGTCAATGATAATTTATATATAGATAGATTGATTATATGTATAAAGTATCAAACAACAAGGATAAGTAATGCTTGATCTGAACACACGGGAGGTGATTTTATGTACAAGTGGCTATTTGTGATTCGTTTTATTCCAATTTTACAACTTATTAATCGATTATCACCTCAAACACAGACACAGATAATGAAAATAATGGACTGATTGATTTAATTTTCAGTTTATTGTAATTATCGGTCGATTTGGTTACAAGCGGGATTGTAAGAAAGCAAAAAACCGATCAAAATAACGTGTATCACTACACGCTATGCCCAACATTTGGAATGAATGGTTAAAATTAATGAATTGATTTGGAATGGGCACCGGAACAATATACAAATTTAATGAACATGAAAATCAGACGAGGTTAATCAAACGAAAACAGAATTAAAGATAAAATCGGACATAATTCGATAATAGCACTAATCGAAGCTGTTTTTTTAATCAACTAATAGCAAAAACGACATGCTCCATTTGACACAAATCGTATTATCAAGTAATTAACATTGTCTTCTTGTTCAATATATAACAATTTGATTTCACCTCTCTTCGTAAAAGGATAAAATTGAATCAACATCATACGTCCTCAGCAGGGGTCCGAGGGGTCCGATTACCCCCCCCCCCCTGACGAAGTGTTACCCCTTGAAAATTTTCAAAGAATTCTTTCAATTTGCTAGGGATTTCCGCCAAAAAAGTGAAGAGCAAAAAAAAAACGAAAAAAGTACACTTTTCGCAAAATACACTTCACTTTTTTGCTTACCCCTCTCGATTTTTTTCAATTACCCCCCCTTAAATTTTTCCCTTGAGGACGTATGATCAACATCTTAAAAGATTGTTGTGTGCAAAATAGAGAGAGAGAGAGAGAGAGAGAGAGCAAAAGAGCAAGAGAGAGATAAGAGGAGAGCGAAAGATGGAGACGATTAATCTACTTTGTCGGCCGTTTATTTCGACTAATTCCGAATTATACGTACCTTACTCAAAACGATCGAAAAATGTATATCAATATTATTCCAATGAGAACATTATTTATGTGACATTCAACGTATATTTGTACATGCAAACATGTGATTCTTGTTCCCACTAGAATATGCATTAATTTTTAATCAATAACAAAATACAAGCCCAAAATAAATATAATCTTTTTTTATTGGTGCTTTTATTCGATTATTTAATGGAAATTATAGTTAACAAAGCAATTTTATTAATGACCTTTGAGTCAGCTAAATTATTTATCGAAAATGTAATAAACATGTGAGAATATTTACCTTTGTGTTCGAAAAATGATCGAAAACGAATTTCCGTATGAAAGGTATCAATTGCTTTTACCCAATTAAGTAAGTTGAAGTGAAATTATTTTGTTCAAGTAATAGATTTTTATTGCTGCTAATTGTTTGTTGTCCGGGTTGAGTGTCAATTTCAAAACGTAATTGAATTGCTTTTAAAAAAGGGGGTAATTAAAAATGTGGCATGAATTAAAACGATAAAAGATTGTTAATTTCAATTTCGAACTTGTTGTTCAATTTATAATGAAAATGCACTTTTTCGGTCATAATTTGATTTTTGTTTTTTTTTTAATTTTACATATTACATTCGACACAACAATAACAGAAATAAAAAAAAACGTAGTAATAAATGGGGGCAAGAAACACCAGGGAAGAGGGAAACAATTTTGAGAGAGAAATATATATAAATATGTATCTATAAACCCTGTCCTCGATTTAAAAAAAGAAACATTTACAAGTCCAAAATGATATACAATGTATGCATGTGAAATTGTCCTTTAACAACAGCGATGTCAACATGCCGATCATATCGAATCAAATCGAATGCAATAAAATTAGTTTTCTCGTTACACGACACTTTTATAAAGAATATTATACAAATTAAACAAACAATACAACAAGTCCATAGTCCATGGAAGAACGACAAGCATTATGGAAACATAAATAACACAAGAGATTGGTAGTTGGTAATGAACATGCTTGTATTATTAATAATTTTGCCAAAAATTTATGTTTTTCGTTCTTCTATTCCATGTTTGGTGCAAAATTATTGTATGCCATTGAATTCGTTTCAGTACTGAATATCAAACAGATTGAAATAAAAAAAACGTAAATAAAAGAAGAAATTAGAAAATGTACATTTTTCACGATATTTTGCCTGTTTTTTTTTTGTCGCTGAAATTTCGTATATTTATTGCATATCTTCAAAGGTATGAAAAAAAAACTAAGTTTAAACGTACGAACGATGTCAATTATTACTTTCGTCTCATTTCATTATGTTTTTGTTATTATGATTGTTTTCAAGATATACAAGAAGGAAGCGCGTTTTCATTGTCATAAATTATTGAATATTGATGTCTTTCTTCTATTTCCATCATAATAATTATATCTTTTTTTTTTTTTTTAATGTTATTCTACGACGAAATAAAAAAATATTACAAGAAATATATTGATAAAAATCAACAAATCAGATTCATCTTTAAAGTATATTAGTATAGTATATGACGGGAGCTGCGTATGCATTGCATGCTTTAACGACAAAAAAATATTATTATTATTTTTTCAGAACAATAAACACTGCGTTTTTTTAGTTCGATACATTTTCTACGTTTGTTTTTTTGTTTGGAAATTTCATATTCGGTTTTTTCGATATATATCTGTTACAATATATATATAGTACGTATAACCTAACAGACTTAGCAGACAATTGTTGGGAAAAAAAATTTCTTCTTTTTTTTTTGGTGCATTTCGAATTGCCGACGGTATTTGTTTCTTGCTTTTCAAAAGAAAAGAAGAACTCCAATTGCATCCAAGCTTCAGGACTATATGTTATGTATTTGTTTGTTATTCTCAAGTGTATTCTCTTGTATAAAAAAATAGTAGCGGCATTATGTATATGTGTATTATTATTTTTGTTTTCTTTTTCACCAAATAACAAAAAAGAATGCAAATCGATTGTTTGCTTTGCGATTCGATAGGGTGCCGCATTGGTATTTTCTTATATTCTTTGTTTGTATCTTGGTCTCTGTCTCTCTTTTTTGTTCTACATAATTTAATTAAAAAGCAGCTTCTGAATGCGATCGTACGCGAACGTCACCGCTTATTTCGTGATGACGTTGAATTAAAGCTAAACATTGCAATAGACAATGTGTACTGGCAGATGAAACGGCCTTTAACATCAGCACATCTGGATCAGTCGGACCAAGCGGACCAGTTAAGTTTTCAACAGCTTTAGCTAAGGCAGCATTACTACACATGGGGCGACAATGAAGGAAAATCAGTTTTTTATTAGATTTATGTAAAAATAAAAGAGAAAAGAAACATGATGATATACGCTTACCATAGTTCAGTGTTGTGAATTTGTTGACGCGCATTGGTGTATGCGTCGGCACTTTCACGTGAAGGTAAAATATCGGTGTGGGAACCAATTGATGGAAAATGTTTTTTTGAAAATCGTTTTCGATGGAAATTATGCTTTATGGCCGACACTTGTGTGTTGTGATTTTCAGCTATCATACGTAATACGTCCACCTGGAGATGAATCAGAAAATATAAAATGGAAATAATCAAAATTAATCAACATGTAATGGAATAAAATTATAAACTATTGCTCTAATCTCCACTACCAAATATCAATTTTTTAGCAATTTGTTTGCTATCGAGACTTCATTTAATCGAAGTTTTTTTTCTATTTCTACCCCTACTTTCATACTTTCTAACGGTTTTTGATGATATGAATTGGTGTGATTGTAATATAATAGAAATAATTAAAAGAATGAATGGAAATTCTTCCATAATGAAAAAGTAATTTTGATGACCCACCCACTGTTGACGGCTTGCTGCGTTTGCCGCACGAATTTTTAACGTATCACCCGATGCACAAGTGATTGTAAATGTTCGTGAATCTTCTTCGCTTGGATTGATAATAGCACCGGCCAAATGTTCCTGCAATAAAAATGTTTACCGTTTATGTTATGTGTGCGGTTGTGGTTTTGCCCCCTTTTTTTGTTGTAGATTCGATTTTATCGAAATAAATGTTGTTATACAATATATAATGTGTTTTTTTGCGCCTACCTGCCATCTCGGTGTGGTTCCAATGTGATTTGATGTTGGACTATCAACATTACATCCGCTATTCATGCTCAACGCATCAAAGTCAAAACTTCGATTACCACTTGAAATGCTGTGGGTGTCAGCAGCAATATTATTTGTCGATGATGACCAGCTATTTGTTGGTAGAAAATAGCGTAAATACCCAGTTTGAGCATCGACAGTAAAATATCTATATTGCCAACCTGCCGATCACAGTAAAGAACAAATCTAATTTAAATGTGTCATACGACAAAATAAATTATGCATATACATAATTTTTTTAAATGGTTTTAAGCGAAATAACAACATCAAGCCACAAAAAAAATACGAAGGGTAAAATGTGGCACATTTTATTTGCATCATTGAGTGCACATTAATCACATTCATTTTGAACTGCCCGGCAAAAATACAAAGTGCCCGTTGAATAATTACGATTCAATTTGGTTGCGAAAAAAAAAACTAACGACGACAGCAAAACAACAATGAAGTTATTATTCAGAATCTTTCGCTCACATTACAGATCTATCATTTTTCCTGTGTCGTGCATTTTGTTTAATAATTATACATGATAAAAATAGAACCGAAGCTGGTGGTGTGTTTTTTTTTAAATCTGTAATTAGACGTGATTTTCAATCAACGTTCATTGCATTTAATTAGGTAGAAGAATCGTGTAATATCGTAATCAGGCAAGAATCGTGAATTGCACTTGTACGATTTTGACTAGTTGTTTATTCATTGTTTAATGTTTCGTAATAGATAGAGCTCTCAACACCGATATTCCAATAAAATGGAATTTATTTTATTTTATTTTTGTTAGAGATGAAAATGCGTCTCATACCTTTAACAACGTTTGTGTATTTTAACATCATTTGGCCGTTAAGCTGCTGACGTGAAATACTTTTTGGTAAATTCGCGTCCATGGTTGTCGGCACCTCTTTGGTTTTATGACGCGATTTTCTGTGAAACAATTTACGAAAAATGTTGGAAATGTCGTTGAATACGTATTGACCAAGAAGGTAGAAAAAATATCTTGAAGCAAGACGATATATAGCACTGGCAGGCAATGGTTAAATCACAGCGTTGTTTATGTTAAATGGTTCTATTTGCCACATTCGATTACATATACGGGAACAAAAACTGTGTCACAACACACGCCAAATAGTCATTGGCAACAAATGGTTTTTAGTTTATTCTTTTCTCCTTTAGTTTTTTTTTAAATATATATATTACAGCTTTTTTGTTTGTTTCTCCTTCACTATTCTCTTTTCTCTTTTTTCCGTCTTTTTGCTGCGGTTTTATTATGATTATTATCGCGGGGTGCAAATCGCAATCAAACACGTACACATAACTTTTTACGAATAAAACAACGACAATGAAAATAAAATAACTTCACATTAACTGATGGCCGAGAATGTGCGCGCGCGAGCGATATGACGACGTAAAGCACTCGCGAACTAAACGCTTTTCGATCAAAAATATGATGTGACGAATATTCAGGTTCGGTGTGTGTGTATTTTTTTTTGTTTTAAATTCAATAAAACCGATTGATAATGATGACGATGACGATAATTGTCATAAAACCTCAGTGCTTTTATGATTGAGGAATAGAGACAGACATAGAAATAGATACGATGGCCCGCGTGTATGGCACGCAAAATTAACATAAACAACAACAAACAAAAAAGAAATTATAACAAATCCGAAATGAAATAAACCGCGAAATATACACAAAAAGAAAACTACACGAAAAGAACAAATAAGTTCAAATTTTAAAATGAAACTGAAAACGAGCGGCAGCAGCAGCAGCAGTAGTAGTCAACATCAAATCACAACACTTGATCAAATGAATAGAAAGAGAGAGAGAGAGTGAGGGACAGAGAGAAAGAGAATAATTTAAAAAAAAGCAAAACTTTTAATGCATACACGTCAAGATGTGCACATAGCTGGCGTGTAAATAACACACGGTACGGCCACGACTTCTTATGTTTTGCTGTTGCTACTGTTGCGATATAGCGTTCGCCTTAGCGATTGTTAACAGCGCACATTTACCATGTAAACTGAAACTGTAGTTAACTAAATTGTTGTTGTTATTGAAGTAACATAAAAGAATTATAATTTTTAAAAACACACACACTCAATCCACAAAAATTTAAGTCGAAGACGATCGATGGGGTGGCGATAGCGTTGATGTTTTACTATTTAAATGAGCAATTTTCCACGTTTCTCTTTTTCGTGAAATCTATACCACGGCAAACAAACTTAAACAACAAAACAAAGAAAAAAAAAAATATGTTTTTCTTTCGTGATCGAATCAATCGATGTGAATGCAGTGCACCAATCGATGCATACAAGAACGTTATGTTTTACTGTTTTGTCTTCTTCGTGTATTTTTTTTCTGTTCTCTGCTGATTTTTTTTGCTAGTTATTTAAGTTCTGAACCCGATTATACTTGTACAAAATTAATGAACAAACAATTTCGCGTATAAAATACATTATTCACTCTATCTTTTTTGTTCTGATCCGTTTCAGTTGATGCCTGTTTTTACTTTTCGAATGGGACTCTATTATGTTGATGTGTATAAGAATTGGCAACCGCTTCGGTGGGGAAAATGAATTCAGCCTTTATATTATTGTTTGTACGAATGAATTCACTCTGTCGCGCACATAACAACGACACCGAAAAAACCAGCAAATATTCGCACAAATAAGGAATCTTGTTTCATTTTTTTTTTTTTCATACACTTTATTGTGTCCCCGAAACACGGAATCTTAATTGGCCTAGTAGTTGTTGTTGGTTTATGTTCTTTCTTTGTTTCCCTTTCGTAATATGTTCTCTGTAATGTTTTCTCGTGCTCTTTCTCTCGTTCGTTCAATGAAATCACGTTTCAAGTGTTCATCATTTGTCCCAAATCCCAAATCGAGTGCGATTTTTTTGTCCTGCACACATCAATATTGTAGAGAGATGAGATGATCCGAGTTTGATTTTGTTGCTGTTGTTATTGTTTGTTATTCTTTTTTATTATTGAAATATTTTTTTTCAACCGGTACAACGAAATACGCACCGAATATTTCAATCGTACTGAGTGAGAATTTTTGTTGAATCTCAGTCGCCGACAAGAGGTAGAGATGATAAATAACAGAAATAAATTAATGACAATGAAATGCCACACACAAACACATTCTACCAATCTGAAATAAAATTGAATCAGAATTGCCGCCTCACTAAAAAAAATCGTATGCAAAACAAACACCGTATGTGTTGTGTGTGCCGCGCGAATGAATTGAATTTATTTCGAATAATATTTGTCCCTTTTAATAACAATTATCCATTCAACGCTTTGACTTGCGACAATACACACGAGCTGAATTTGATTTTTGGACTTTTTGTTCGTTTATTTTATTTCTACATGAAAACGTTTTAATATTTTCCTCAAATTACTCTGGTTATTTATTTTCCGTTTTATTTTTCTACTTTCGCTCGCACTTCTCACACTCTGTGTGTTTATTTTGTTTTCAATCCATAAATTTTGACGTCGCTCATTGTATGATATAAAAACACTGATGATGTTGATTACAAAAACAACGATTCTAGCAACAAAAACAGCACCATCAGCTTTAATCCACTGACAATTTGTACAATACAACGTAGCATAATCAGATTTCACATACAGCTTCATTTGAGCGCCCGCATAACAGTATGCGTGCGCACGTCTGTGTATGTGTGAACACGTTAAATCACAATTTTATACAGCCCTACGACCATACATTCCGATGCTACACCACATATATACACTGATTCGGTACGGATGTTTCGTAGAATTTCGCTCCACTGACGTTTCAACCCAAACTCGCTGCATTTGGCGCGAATTTTAATATCACTTTGCAATATAAACAATTATTTATATCTAATAAATTATTCCTGATTTCAATATACAGACGAACGAATTGCGATGCATATTTAAATCTGAAAATACAATGTTTATTTTAAGGAATATTAAATTTCACATCCATTATGAATCGATTTGTATCGAACTCTGTAATAACAATAAACATTTTATGGCCACCACCACCAATACGGTTATGCGCATCAAATCATAACACAATCACAAGTAATTGTGTCGACGGAGATGTAAATATACCAAAATCCGTTATGTGATTCAAAATCGGATCACCGTCACAGCATTCTGTAACTACGCGTTGTCGACGACAGAACATTTGAAGCTGCACGGAAGAAAAAACACATTTTTTTATTATTATTTTTTTTTTGCATTTACCGTGCCGGTAAAGAGATTAAAATGGGGGTACCACGACTTTTCAAGTACCTTACCGAGCGATATCCAAGCCTGCAAAAAACGATCGAAGCAAATCAGGTATGTTTCTTAATAAACAATTTTTGTTCGGTATTATAATCAATGTTTATGGTGTTTTATATCGCGTATTTTCAGCTACCAAGCTACGATTACGTCTACATCGATTTGAATTTTTTGCTGCACAAAGCGGTCACCGAAAATGGTTTATTGCCTTTGGAACGGGCTGATGATGAATTTTTGCTTGAATCGCGTATTTTTGAACGGGTTTTACGTCAAATTGAAACCCTTCATCGCATTGTACCGTCAAAGGTACTGTTTTTGGCCATTGACGGCGTTGCACCACGTGCCAAATGGATGACGCAAAGAAATCGACGGTAAATTTTTGGAACTATTTTTTTTTGTTTGGTGAATGTTCAGTATAGTTAAATTAATTGCTCAATTTTCTTGGAATTGTTCAGAATGCTTGCATTCGAGAAGAATGGCGTGCCAGCGGGAAAATTTGACACAAATTCCATATCACCCGGTACAATTTTTATGCGTAATTTCGAAAATGTATTGCTTGAATTCATTGCTGACAAAATTAAATTGCACAAAAATTGGAAAAATTGCGAAGTTCGTGTTAGCGGATCGAACGTAAGTAGCATTGATTTATTTTAAAAATGTGTTTGGTTATTACTGTGGTACCGTTGAATACCTTTTTTTTGGTTGAAATTGAATTAAAATCCAATTTTCTAGGTACCGGGTGAAGGTTCGATTAAGATCATTGATTTCATCCGTAATTTGAAACATTTCAATGACTACGTGCCGAACCAAACTCATTGCATTTACAGCGGTGACAATGACTATCTTTTGCTTGGTGTTGCAACACATGAACTATATATTTCGTTCATTCAAGAGGTAAGAATGTTTTAAACGAATGCATTTACTTGAAACAAAATAAATTCAATTTCCGATTTTTGAATAGCCAAAAAAGCCAACTGGAACACTGACTTCACTCTGTTCGGACGATGTAAAACACAAGTTTTCGATGATACACTTTGAATTGTTGCGTCAATACTTGAGAATGGAGTTCATCGGTTGCGAGTCAACAATTTCATTTGAATTCAGCATGGATCGTATTGTTGACGATTGGGTGATGCTAATGACGCTCTTCGGCAATGATTATCTTCCCGGTTTGCCGAAATTTGATTTGAACGCAGACATTTTGTCTACTATTTATGATGCATACAAGGAAGTTTTGAATACGTCAAATGGTATGTATAAGAAATTTTTACAAATTGATAATAAAATATTGGTTGGAAATTATTTCTATAATACTAATTAGGCTACATGACGGATTGTGGTATATTGAATGTGCGTCGTTTCACACGACTTTTGTACAATCTCAAGCCAAAAGATTTTGATTTGTATTGCGATAGCATTAATCGTTCGTATGAGAAATTGATCAGTGATAAAATGGATACCGCACTCAATTTGAATCGTGGATCAGACTCAGCGAACGATTCAAAGATACAAATTAGTTTTAGCGATTTTCTGGATATGAAATACGATTACTATGCCCAACACTTTGGTCATACCGATCTGCCGGACTTTGAAAGCATGTCAACGAGCTACGCAAAAACAATACAATGGATTCTATTTTATTATTTTCGCGGAACACACTCATGGTATCATTATTATCCTTACAACTGTGCACCGTTCGTAAGCGATTTCACTCCGTTGCACAAAACATCATACACATTTAACGTGGATAAACCGGTGAACACATTCACACATCTCTTGGCCATTTTGCCCAAAGGTAGTTCGCATCTATTGCCCACAAGCTATCAATCGTTGATCGTTGATGATCCATATTTTAATATGGTATGTTAATTATTTTATTGTCTGAAAATGTGAAAAAATTTGTTGTATTCTTTCGATAAGTAATTGAATTTTACATTCAGGATGAATTGTTGCTGAAATGTAAAATAATTGAAGAACATTTGAATGCAACAGATGAAAGTCGAAACAAAGTGAAGCCAATGCTCAAGCTTCAATACGTTGAAACCGATGACGGTCTGAATTGTGTAAAGACTACTGAAATTTTATCGGACCAGAAATTTGGTCGTGTGAGCAACGAGAAATATCTTGATCGTCCATTGAAAAGTATTGACTTCAATTTCAAATTTTCTGCACTGAATCATCACCATTTCAATGTGAGTGCACTTTTTATTATCATAACCAAAAGGTGTCAAGAGTGTATTCATCGCAATATTTCACTTGCAGGGCCGCTTAATTCCAAGCAATCCAATTACACCCACTCCACGAATGGTACTTACATTGGAATTTGAAGAACAAAATGATCTCGATGCGGTGGCGGAAAAGTACTTAAAACAAATTGTATGCGTTGATTGGCCCCATTTCACAGAAGCAAAGATCATGCAAATATTCAATGCACAAAAAAAGTTCGATTGTTCAGGCGATGAGATAAAAATTTCGGAAAATCCAGATGAATTCGACACCTGTGTGGAAACATTGAATGCACGGTATAAATAATTACTCTCGTTCTTTCTCAATCATCCAATTGTAATTTATGTTGTTGTTGTTTTTTGCAGGTATACTGCAGCTGGCATCGATATTGGAGAAATAAAAATGATTGCATTCACGGCACCATTAAAATGGTGCGAATACAAAGCCGCTGATGATAAATCAATAAAATTCGATTTAATAAAACATTGGGACAATGACAAATGGCAACCATGTGCTATCCAAGCAATAACGAAACATGTTATGGTTGATCAAATGCCACACGAGTATCTTGTCAAAGATGCACTGCAGGATAAGAAAGTGTTTTTATTCGGCGGCAAATCACACTATGGCCAAATGGCCACAATTGCAAGTGACAACGCACTCGAGACAACTGGTCGAATTAATAGTAAGTATTAAACTGATTTAGCAATATTCAAACGAAGTCCCACTCAAAAATGCATATATACTTTTGTTATCATCAGTTTTGGCTTATAAGCATGAAGAGCCAAACTTTGAAAAGGCAATGGTTTCACATCGCAACGCTAAAGCTGACGAGATAAATGAATTTAAGCAACTCTCAAGTGCAGCAGCACTAGTTGGTGTAAATGAAAAAGTATTTGCCAAAATTACCGGTACCACTTTGGTGAACAACGAAAACTGTGTCTCTGGTCGAAAAATCAACATTGGATTACAGTTGAAAAATCGCAATCCAGTATGCATCAATTTATGACAGAAAAAATGTATATGTTTTTTACCAAATCGTTTTTTTTTCTAGTTTCAAATGAGCATATCACTTTTGCATGACTATGTGAAAAATGTTGGCAGCAAATTCATTTATTCGCAAAAATCAATTGATTTGGTTCAACAATACATGGACAAGTTTCCACGTGTATTCGAAATATTGAGTAAATCGGATGCGGCTGCAATTTCGATTTCGGAATTTGAAGAAAACAACAACGATGGTCTGGAATATGTAAATGAAATTCGTGCATGGCTTCAAACATTGCCACACACCAAAGAAAGACTAAAACCAGTCGATCTAATGCGTCTGTCAGATGATGCCATCAGAGAAGTGCAAAAGGCGGTCATGGAAACTGTGAGTTCATATTTATCCATATATCAACCGACGATAGAATTAATTTTTGTTTTTTCGAATTAAAAGTACGAAAACGATGCAAAGCTTCTTAAGCTCATGATAAAGTGGCAAAATCTTTACATTCCTGATATGAATAATGTGTGCGTTGTTCCGTGTCCGAGCGCAATGTATAAGCTCTTAGATCGTATTGTTATTGTACGCAGTGGATATCCGGTAGGCAATCTCTCCTTATTGATTCTTCAATTAAAGACGATTGGAATTTCAAGAACTTTCTTTTTTTTTTGAAAAAATGTGTACTTTCAGTTTGAAATTGGTGCAAAGGGTACCGTCATCGGAATCGAGCCCATGCGTGGCCATATTCCAGGCCAAGATATTACCGATCAAGAACTGTTTGCATTGGAAATTTTGATGGATAATCCATATTCAATTAAATCAAAAACTCACGAATTCAAGCATCATCAAATCTTTCGTACGCGATCCACAAATATGTTGATCAACATTTCACACGGACGTGACGATTAAAATCGAATTATTTTTATACATTTTTTCATAATCATTGACATACACTGAACAATTTCATTTTAGACTCGATTTTTTTTGCTGAACAAAAAAAAGAACATAAATTGCCGCGGTCGCTCACTCGTATTTAAAAAAAACAAAACCATATTTCGAATGGTTAGACACAATAATCTATATCTGTTAAAAACACATAGTTTCAATCATAAAGATTTCCATTTATTTGAACAATAAAACGCAAAAATGTAAATATTTTGTAGTCTTTCATTGCGAATATAAAATATATTCATTTTTTAAAAAACTAGTCTAGCAAAAAGGAAGGAAAATCTCAAATTAAATCAAAAAATAAATCGAATTCGACGAAAGAAATAAATTCAAATGAATAGCGCAATAATGAATAGATGTCGCTGTGTACCATCGATTAAAATGTTTGCTGTCCGTCTCGATTTGACATTTCGCATCGATATACTGCATTGGGTGCCATCAATGGCGAAATGAATAAAGTGAGCTGACAGCTCGTCGACAACGTCGGCCATCTTGTAAAACATCTTTCTTTTCCGGCGTACAGTCTTATAGTGCGGACCTGTGAATTAATATTTACTAAATTTGTAAGTGATTTTTTTATCAAAAAATACTGTGTTTAATTATCAATTTGCTCAAAATGCATCGATTAATTGCGTTTGCAATGAAAATATTGGATTTTTGTGAATTCTGTGTTGAATAAATTGCTTTTTTTCCCTAAAATAAATCCATTCCAATTGAAGTACAAAGGCGCACGGTGTTCGCGTGTTTCATGCAATGCATGATATGTGTGTGCGTTATAGGTTATGTGAACTCGTTTCTGACTGTCTACTGTGTAGTTGTTCATATATCGCACGTGGAATACTTTTAGTGACAAAAAATCGTAATTTAACTCAATCGAAACAGAAAAACACCGATTAAATTGAAAATTGCATATGTCCTTTACTAAAACCATATTGTTTTAGATACTTAATCGTTCGCATTGACTTTATGGTATTCAAGGGGACTAAAGAAAATTTGGTTTATCATTTCCTCTGGTGGATTGTTGTTACTTCGTACAATGCCTCCATAGCATAAATCAACAGCTTTTTTTATCACTTAAAACAAATTTAGATGATATGCAATTTTGAGCAATTGGTTTATTCAATTTTCTTCTTTAATTCGAAAAACGTGTTTTAAAGAATAAAATGTTCACATGTTTGATTTTCTTTCATTTTTTTTTTTGGTCGCCTGCAGCACAATGGCTGAAGTAGAAGAACAGCAATTCGAAACTTTTGATGAGCAGCCAGCTGCTGAAGAACAACAATTTGACCAAGAGGCTGAAGCTGAAGCTTTGGCATACGCCACAGCAGCTGAACTTCCAGAAATCAAATTGTTCGGACGATGGAGCTGCGACGATGTTCATGTATCAGACATGTCATTAGCTGTAAGTATTCTTAAATACACAATTCAATTCGACCGAATTTAATTTTAAACTATTAATTTACAGGATTACATCGCTGTTAAAGAGAAGTACGCACGTTATTTGCCACATTCAGCTGGTCGTTATGCTGCAAAACGTTTCCGTAAAGCACAATGCCCAATCGTTGAACGATTGACCAATTCATTGATGATGAAAGGTCGTAACAACGGTAAAAAATTGATGGCTGTTCGTATTGTGAAGCACGCCTTCGAAATTATCTACTTGTTGACTGACAAAAACCCACTCAGCGTAAGTATAAATCATGATATTAGATATATCACCATCAATATTCATCATACAATATCTTATACGATTAGTCTGTCCTTGCTAGAACCAAGCAATATAAGGTCACACATTCTAATTGCTTGGCGTAGAAAACTGGACTAGATTAAACAACACAATTTGACTTATTCATTGGCCGAGAATTTCGTCAGACACATCCGACTGATGATTGTTTTTCGGTTCAATAGCCAAGTTCAAATACACGTTTTTCAAACAAAAATCAATTTGAGAATGAAAAAAAAAATATATTTGTCATTTTTATACTAAACGATGTAAATTGGCGCATTTTTTCAGATTCTTGTGGCTGCCATCATCAACTCTGGACCACGTGAAGATTCAACACGTATTGGTCGTGCTGGTACCGTTCGTCGTCAAGCTGTTGATGTGTCACCATTGCGTCGTGTCAACCAAGTAAGTTTTCATTTCGACCAAAAGAAAAAAGAATGCTCATTCATATAGACAGAGTGCAAAAAAAAAAAACACATTGTTTACATTTGAGGTTATGTCATACACGCTGAACGGTCGGATATGTTTTTATCATGACAATCGCTACGATTCGATTGATCATTCACTTTTCGCGACTAGATTAAATGTCTGACATACTTGTTGTTGGCATTCAGATCATTTTGAATCCCACTGAATGCTAATAAACATTGTTAGAACATTGACAATTCAACAGATTGTTGTTGTTGTTGTTGTTGTTGTTGTTATTTGTGTATGACGGCGCAACGTGTATACATTAACTGATAACAAGGGTTATTTGATTTGAATTCGATGCTCATAAATTGTGTTTAATTTAAGGCTATTTGGTTGCTCTGCACCGGTGCACGTGAAGCTGCATTCCGTAACATCAAATCCATTGCTGAATGTTTGGCTGATGAATTGATCAACGCCGCCAAGGTAATTTTAATTTAATCAATTTTTTTTGGTAAATAATTTACCGTATATTTCTGAATCAGTCCTGTATAATGCTGATTGATTTAAAACCATGCTGATCAACTCAGTTTCGCTTTAGGACAATATTAATGTACTCCATTTGGGGTGGTCTTCGAAAATCCTGGATTGAATTGAATTTTTACCTTGGTTTGGTCCTTGGAAACCGTTGACACATTTTTATTTACTGAAAAATTACACACGCACACTTGCATCAGTCCTGTATAATGCTGATTGATTTAAAACCATGCTGATCAATTCAGTTTCGCTTTAGGACAATATTAATGTACTCCAGTTGGGGTTGTCTTCGTAAATCCTGGATTGAATCGCATTTTACCTCGATTCGGTCCTCGGAAACCGTTGATACATATTTATTTGGTGCAAAAAAGGCAGACTTGAAATCATACCAATTCTGAAAACAAAAGTAAATTTAAATATTTCCATTTTTTTTTGGTTTCATTCAATTTCTTCGTCTATAAATGATTCATTTTTTATCTATTTTAAATTAAATACGATATGAATGTTATGCACTTCAATTGTGAATTTATTTAATTCAATTGAGACACAATCGAATTTAATGCAAAACATTCTTATTAATTTTTCTGAGTTTAAATTATTTTTTGAGTTTTAGAAGCAATATTAACTTAATAAATATATTTTGGTAGAATGGTATTTGATTTGCTTTTTTTGATATATGTCTTATGCTGTACGGTGCAATGATTTTTTTTTAAATTAGTACCATCACAAAATAAGACTATAGAAAATTGTTCAAATGGGAAACTTCTCTGGACGATTGAGTGAGAATACTTTGTCGTTGTTAAATTTGACCATTTGAAACAAAATACATTTGCAAGTGCAGACGTGTGTTTTTCAGTAAAATCAAATTTATATGAATTTTAATATTTTTTTTTTCCAACTATTTGATTTTAATTTCATGTTTTATGTTTGTATACTTACAGGGTTCATCTAACTCATACGCCATTAAGAAGAAAGACGAATTGGAACGTGTTGCTAAATCAAATCGTTAAACATACAAACTACCACACATACACTTTATTACGCATTTTACAATGTTCTTCGTTGATTTACATTGTCTGAAGAATTTTTTTTGCGTTAATAAAAACAAATAATTGAAAACAAAGATAAAAAAAAATCATGAAACAATGTAGTTTTTTTCATTGAATTTTAAATGGTTATTTTTTCGTCCATATGGCATGGTCTGTGCTCAAACTACTAATTTTTGACTTATTCGTTTATGAAACAAAATAGATTGAATACATTTTTGTCGAATTATTAATGACTACCGTTTTTTCTGGAATATTTTGATATAGACATTTCCTGGATTCATCATCGTCTTTCCATACCATCAACAAAATTATAAATTTTCAACTAAGGCACTGGGTTCATTTTCATTTTTGTGCATTTATTTTGTACAACTTTCATCAAATCGCATATAAGATGCGATGACACGTGTCATATGAATATCACCATACACATGCTTTTTTAATCATTTTGTTATGAATCAGTATTTTGTGATGCACCAACGCAAATAACACCAGAGTTCAGTGCAATTAGTATTTACATAAAATTTTGTAAAAAAAAGTCATCGATCGATAAATCGAATTCAAAAACTTCTCTAGGAAACAATATATTTTAAAACTATTTATTCATTTAGTATGGTTAGTTTCAATTCGTCCATTGGAAAAAGTATCATATTCACATTCGATGTGGTTCAGAAGCCATACCAATTTTCTTTACCAATATCCTTTTCAAAGCCGTGAGAAAAAAGGATTCGAGTGGTCTTTGGCTGCAAATGAATATGTTTTCTGGCAATGTCAAATAGCTCTATGAACATAGCGAAGAAGCCCTAAAATTGTTCAAATTGAATTCGAACTTTTTTTTTAATTCTTTTTCGTTATAAGGTTCATCGAACCGACAAAATATGCAAAAAAATACTAACCTCCACCAAGAGCTTCTTTGTACTAAATAATAATTAAATGTATTAATAAAAAAAATAGTTGGAATAATAGTTTAAATGAAAAAAAGAAATGAGCAAACAAAGAATTTCTTAAATTTCAAATATAAAGTTTTATTTTAATTTGTTCACTTTTATTCTCACATGTAATAGACTGTAATCAAACAGTTACAATAACAAACATTTTTGAACAAAATTCTAGTCGAATTTGGAAATTTCTAAAAAAAGCCTGCTGTACAATAAAATATACAATCATATTCTTTCGGTTGAAGATGTTTCCTTTACTATCAATATTATAGTATTTGTTCGCGCAAATAATTTCAGAGTTTAAATAACGTATATAATGAGAATTCTATGAATGTTTTGTCAATAATTCTAAAAGTCTAGTACAAAATTATGTTGAATTAAAATCTGAATGCATCAACTAAAATAAAAAAAATGTATTCGGTATGCAACTAGGCAACGTTATCAACGTTGAGATATTTCAAAGACCGCAAATTGGTAACATTTATAAATAGGAAATCTCTGATTATTTGTGAGCTAATCAATCTATTCATCTTCACTTCGTCAAATCACTAACTTATCTACTTGTAAATAATCATTTGTCTATTGGAGATATGCAAATTTAGCATATGTTTCATAAAATAAAATTGCTTTAGTTAACATTAAAAAAATAAAATAAAATAGTAAAACTCCGTGTGCACCAGCATGTTGAGCAAAAAATCAAGAAGAAGACAATCGTTGTTCAAGATTCAATCTGTTCACTGCATTGTTCTTCAAGAATTAAAAACAAAAACAAATTTAAATAAATATGTGGCGCTCATGTTGCATTCTTCATCATTTGGTCTTTTTCTTTCGATTGTAGAAGCGGTCGGCAAGTGCATGTAATATGCTGCCGGGTATTCGTTGATGTTGATTGATTAAATCTTCAATGGCAAGTGCGACTTTTTCCTGCAATTGTTCGGGCGTTAATAATGGATCGTATTCAATTGGTGGTCCTAAGTGTGTTCGAAATTTGACCGGAAAACCACCGTAAACCGGTCGCACTGGAAATTTTGTCTTATTATACAATTTAATAAACCAACGTTGCATAAAACCAACCGAACGAAAACCTTCGCGTAAATTTTCGGTAAACATTGGAATGATCGGTGCTTTGGCATCAATGGCCACCTTGGCGAAACCAACACGATTCTTCCAAAGTAGCTCGTAATTGTTGTTGCCAAATTGAGCTTCATAAACACCACCAGGTGAAATGGCCAATAGATTTTCTTCTTTGAGAATATTCGAACATGTTTGCACAGTACCTGGGCATACTTTCATCGCTTCCGATATAATACCCCAACCGGGTAGTTTGAATAGAAATCGATCGGCTACCGTATGCACCAAACGATCCCGTTCCAAACAAACACGTGCCACAAAATAGTACATATCGATTGGAATGGCCCCATGATAGTATACAATCAATGCTGGACCATCTTTTGGTAAATATTCCATGCCAGTCACTTCATAACCATGATAGATCCATGCATGCGCATCCCAAACTGCTGCCACACACTTTCGTGCCACATTCCAATAATTTATATCATCACTGCTAACTGCTTGATATATGACACGCCTGTGTCACCATATAATAATTATGACACGGTGGCAATAACAATCCATCCGATCAATTTCCCACCAAAAATTTACAATTCGTGTGTTGAGTACCGCGAATAACATGAAAAGAAAACAACAGAGAAGAATATGTTATAAAGTATATGACAAAGCAATAAATAAATAAAAAAAAAATTTGCCGTCACTACAATTAAGCACAAATCGACGAAATATTGTACGATGTTTTGACTTTCCATAAAAACTGCACTCCGATTTGAATTGCATTCGAATTAAATTTGAAATGACAAAAAAATGCATCCGAATGCTGATGATAATAAAAATGGTTGTCGTTCGAAGTGAAGGTTACAAAAATCGTCGATTTGAGCTTTCGTTGGTTATATTCGACTATTATATATTACCTATGAAGCTTATAAATATATAGAAAACACGATGAAAGATAAATTAGCAGCACGAAGACCATTGGCAGTAAAAATGTTAGGATAAGCGGTGTAAGTGCCCGCCAAAGCCATATCGAGTAATCTAAATCAATGTATTGTCCTGTGTGCGTATCAAAATAGAATGAATTAATAACAAACAGAGTTTAGAAAAAAAAAATGATAATCGTAACATATGATTGGTTGTTCATATTGCCAAATATGTATATGCGAATGGTATCGGATGTTTGATGCCCTCTCACATCAATGACGAATGAAATGAAACTTATTCTAATATAAAACAAAATTTAATCACAATAAATCAAAACACAAAATTCAACAACAAATCAAATAAATAAATAATTTGCGCAATAGATTTAATATCGGCGCGGTGATAACACAAGCAAACGGGCACCACTCGAATGATCGCATTCCATGATGTTGGCAATCAAAACAAATATCTTTCGATTATCATTGCAGTGGTCGAAAAAAGAAATGCTACCCAACTACTTACCAATAAAATGAATAAACGAATTGTTAAAATATGAATGATATCCAGAATCATTGTAAATGGTATACATATTTATTGACCACCCCGAGGGCTTTAGGTTGACGAATTCATAAATTACACTGTTCGTTAATTGCGTTCCGCTCGAACAACAACAATAAATTAGACAAAAAGAAAAACACCGGTAAATTGAATTTATTGCACTTTACACAAATCGACACATGAAATTTTCGACACAAGTTTTCAATTTGATTGACGCATGCAGAACGGAATGGAATTGGAATTGGTTAGATATTTTATGTGTCACGTTCGGTTCGTTTTGATTTCTATTTATTATTTTTTCCTCTTTTTTGAATAACTATTTTTTTTTGTATTTCGCGAATATCGTTGGGATCGCTGTCTATATCGATGGCGATGAACTGTTATCGAGAACAAGAACTGCCCGTATAAATTGGTTAGTGTTTGTACGATTTCTTGCACGATGGTTTTCCGAATAAATCCGTCGCCGAACCAACGCGAGCTGGAACTCGACTCGTGTGTAAGTCGATATATTGAAGAAATAATAATATGTTCCCCGATCGGTATGTTGATTTTATGGTGTCTATTTGCTGAGGTCACCTTCTTTTGCTTGTTGTATTCATTCGCTCAAAATTCGTTTCGTTCGTTGCGACTTTTTATTAGTTGCAAACATACGTTTTCTACATTTAAAAAAAAATAGTGTGTGTGTGTATGGTGTTGGGCCCGTGTCCGCTGTTCGCACTCGATTGCGATATTCTTGCTATCTTTTGCACAATTTTTGCGTGTTTTCGGTGTGTTTGTTGATTCAAATTATTATTGTTGCTGTTATTCGTAATTGCTTCAGCGTTTTAAATGTTCTGAGCATTGCTTCATAAACGCCACCAACTTTATAAATCGGCCTGCAATCAAAATTAAAAACAAAACAACGATTGCAAATGGTTTTTTTTTTCTCTTTTTTTTTATTTTCGATGGACGCAATGCACTAATTTAATCTCTATCAATTAAACTCGGTCCGCTTCAATTAAAGATCAAATTTACTGTGTGAATTTTGATTTGTTGGGTATTGCACTTCAAAACAAAAGAAAAGACAGACAAATTGGAATTTCCTGAATTAATCTGTCAATTTCACAAATCACAATGACAATTCACACACAAAAAAAAGAAACTATTTTGCACCTGCCGATTTTACAACAAAACGTCAATATTCTATTGCACGAATGAGGAATAGAAGCACACGAATTTCATCATACACACTATTATTAAATAGAAAGAATTAGCTTCCGATTCATGAGAACGTTCAGCATCTAATACACATCATTTTTACTATTCATCGTTTCTAATTCGTATAGTTTATTCTTTCGCTCAGTCTGCACGTTCGGTGTTTTGTTGTTTTAATTTTCTCGTATTCATAAATCTACTTGCGATAGTTTCGTGTTTGCAAAAACATGGATTTTGATTGGTAATTGTTTGGGCTCTTGTTATCACAACCGATGCAATTTCACTGATTAGTCAATCGCTTTTTATTTCTGCTCACAAAATAGTGACACACAAAAAATCATAATGATGTTTTATATGTTTTATATGTTTCATTGGCGAAAGTATAATACAACAAGGTATAATAACAACATGTGATTATGTGTTTGTGCTTGTGTTTCACTTCATCCAATTGGAATTGTAATATGGAAAGTCAACTCTCTGTCTCTTACTCTCGAAACTTCACATTGAACACAGTTTGACAGACAATGACGGTTCACCATATGCATGGATATATATGCATACATACACATCGATACATTTGCGTGTGTATTAGTTTTTATCTTTAAATGGCGCAAATATCGTGTTCAACTTGAATATCAGGGTTTTCAGCTAGATACTTTCTTGTCAATTTTGAATTTTTGAAATGTGTCATAATTCAGCTGTTTGCCTTACAAATGAAAACTTGATACATAAGATAAATTTATATGAATCTATCACTTTTTATTTTGAAAAAAAAAAAAAAAAAAAAAAAAATCATTCAATGATAACTTTGAGTTTTTCAGTTAATGTAAAAAGAGCAATGAAGATGTAAATCACAAACCGATTTCCGGCATTGAAATTTGGCCTTAAGATGGATTGATTTGCTGCAGCGAAATGTGCTAATCTGATTATTTTGTTTTTAATTAAATTTTACGTATTAAACGAACTCATCATACCGACTTTCAGCACATGATCAGTTTTATTCGAAGCCAAGATAGTTTCGGCACTTTTACGATTGATTTAATTAGATGATGAACGAGTTAACTATATGCATAATACAGAAAGATATCTTTGTATCTCATACATATCAACTATACATGCTTGACTGTGAATTGAGTTAATCAAATTGGATATAAGCAATTATTCTCAAGTAGAAAATCTTGTTGCGTAGACGATGTTAACAATAAGACGGAAGCCGTAAAAAAATTTGAATGAACATGTGTGAATACATTTTGTATGATTCTTGATTTCATATGACAGGTAACAAACAAAAATGTTCTAATTGCACCAACAGCTAGGTCAATCGGTTACATTTCTCAAATAAAAACGATCAAATTTGCCATTCGATATTTCAGCTTCGAATTTCCATCGAAGCAACAAAAAAACAAATTGAAAATCTTGAATCGGTTTACACTCGGGTTAAATTTCCATGTGATTAATATCATGAGATCGTAGTGTAAACAACGGAAAAGAATATAGTATAAATAACAAATTACTGGATAAATCGAGTAGTTTGAGTGCAATTGAACAGTACGCATATCGAATCACAGTAATGTATATGTATCCAAATAGAAAGAATGAAAGAGAAGGATTAGAAACAAACAAACAAAAAAAAAGAGAATTGAATGTGATTCGCTTGATGTGTCGTTGTGTGTGTGTTATTCGGTATGATCACGTTTCGTTCGTAATCAAGCATTGCGCGGATTGTAGTAAGAGAAGCGCTCGATCATTTGGTATATGTAAATGGCCATTTACATGTGTATTCGGTGATGACAAAACCATTTGCCCTTCATAAGAACGAACTGTTGCTTTGCTTGCACACATACACACATCAACTAATGGCAGAACGGTGTGTTTCGGCCACGGCGCTATTCCTTCACATGCGAGAGAATAATACACGACATTACAATACATCGAACTAAAGCAGCCAAACACAAATACACCGACATCGGAGAGCATCAGAACACGTATCGTAACGTTTGCTTGTGTGTATGTGTGAATATACACACTCAGTCATCGCGTATTGTGCTGTATGTGGGTATTTGTGATTTTTATCTCTGTATCGCCTGCTTCACAATACACAAGCGACGACGACAACAGCGGTGGCGGCAACAGCGACAACAACAACACCAAAAAGAATGAACGAAAGAGACTCACAAATATCGTTTCATGTTGTTGAGTTTGAGGTGAGTGCTAGCGCAATGAACAACACATTCGGTTGTGTTTAGTGCTTGTTTCAGGAAGAAGACCATTTTTTTAGAGTAAAAAACAAAAACACACATTTTTCGTTTCATTCAATTTCACACACAAGTTTAAAATTCCATTTTGCTCGAGAATTAATATTCACACATAAAACAAAGTTTTAGTCCGACTGCCGAAAATTATAATAATTTTGTTGTTGATATATTTTAAATACATACAAAACAGTATATATATATTTTAAATATTATTTGTCACGGTGTGCCTTGTTGTTGATTTTTTTTTCTTCATACGGATATTGTTGTTGTCGTCGTCATCGTCCGCAACTTTTTCGTTTTCGGGGCCTGTTGCTCATATTCAAAAAGAAATTCTCACCATAAAACTGACGATATTCCATTGGTCTGGCCGAGGTCTTGTGCATATTTCATCCAAAACTGTTGCATATATAATATTTAAAAAAAAAAGAGATTAACGAATTACAAATGTGAGTGAATTTATTTCATTTTTTTGTTCGCGGGATTTCAATGATTTTGTTTTAAGACGGTCATCGAAAATGACCGAAATCAAGGAAGAATTTTTTACAATACAATATACTTCGATTCGTCATTGGCAATGATATACACGTGAATGGATTACTTCGAATGTGCTGTAAACAAAAAAATAATAAGTGTTCTTTTATGACAATAAACAATAACACAAAACCACGCGACATTAAAAGAAACAAATAGCGACTTTATCGTAATCACATTAGATCGAACAGTTTTTGTTTTATTAAACACATATCGATTCATTGAAAAGTTTTATTTTCTTCGTTTGGTGTATCTCTAGTGTAGTTTTTAGTGTGATAAACGAAGGACTAAAACAGAAAAAAAAACACAACATTGTTGATGTTGCAACTGATCAAATAAAAGGTGAATTAAACAGTAACAGCAGCAACGGCAACAGTGTGAAATATTTTGTACTGTATATGGATGATTGTTGTTGCCTTCAGAAACGACGCGCATCACGAAATCTTGAATGTAAGTGTGACTTTTCACAGAAATGATAAATTTTGCGAGAAAAAAATAATAATAAAAAAACATAAATTAAACCTTAATGCCGTCACAAATGAAAAAGAGATCCCTTCGTGCATTTGTGCTGCAACAAAACAAATAGAAGGCGCATTTCATGAAGGCACATCTCGTATATTTATACAACGTTTGGCAAACTCTGCAACCCCACGAAAATTGTATAAATCTCAACATGATGTGTCACTAATTTCAAATTGTACTATGACAAATATCTCGGTAGCATTTGTGCGTGTACAAAAGAGATGGTACCTTCATTCAATGTGTAAATGGGAAAATAAAGGTGCTTGATTTTCATAGCAATGCGAATGTTTGAAAACATGTGTCCGATTTATTCACATCTGTTTGTGTACGAAAAAGTCTCTTTTCTTAAAAGAATTATTTCGTGCTGTGTATGAATGTCATTTGACTGGTTTCAATAAGCCGACCGAATTTGGCAAATCAACCATTACATTTTGGCGAGTGAAATCGAATTTTTGTTGTTTTGCACTATGCACATACACATGCAGACCGCAGTTTTTTTTTGTCGTTCACTTAGATAATCTTGGGATTTGGTTTTTGGAACGTCAAAAGGCGTCAGCAAGTAGATAAAGTATTAAATGATATCAGCGAATAATAATGTTGTTTTTTTTTGTCATTCGACAATTTCCTTATTCACTTCATTCTATTTCGTATCTCATTTCCAGATTGCCATTTTTTTCGCAAATTTTCGTTTTTATTTAAGCGTAACGAAATGTCGAAAAATTCTTATAGTATAAGAAACAATTCGTTTCATTTACAAATTTAAAATAAATTCTTGGCTAAAGTTGTTAATTGTTAAGTTCAAATTGACAAAATTTATAATGGTTTCTATTCCGGTCGTCTTCATTGTGCTGTTCATCACAGAAATCTATCTGTTCTCTTTTCTCGTTTTGTTAAAAGAACGCTGCGATATTTGTTAGTGCAGTTTCTGTAATTAAAGGCCGAAAGAAAGCCCATTTTCCGTATAGTTACAGTTTGCCAGTTTTAACCATTCATCAACGGGCACATATGTGCTGCTGTTTGTATATACAAAAAGAGCCAACGAACGAGAGACAGAAAATGTGTCTATATGCGTGTGTGTGAGAGAGAAAGAAAATGGTTTTGCATTGTTGTATTTGGTTTAAAATTGGCAATTATTATATTGTGAGCAGATGTGTCCATTAGTACGTGCTACATTTTGCTTTAGCGCAAAATGAATATTTTTTTTCCTCAAAATTCTCGTTCGCTCTAAATTTCCAAATCGACTCACTCATTTCTTTTGTATTGTCTCGTCAATTTTTTTCTTCTTCTTCGACTCATTGGCGAATGTGCGTGGCGTTGTTGGTTCACATCATGTGTTGTTGGTGGTTTATTGGTTGTTGGTGCTGTTTGCTGCCGTCGCCTAACACTCGATTATGTATCGGAATAGTTTTATGAAACGTGCGGGGGCTAATTTCATGTCAAAAAATCTTGATGCTTTCTTCTCAAATCTTATGACAGGCCCGCCATCAACATTTGCGTGCACTGTAGACCCAATTTTTTTATGTTGTTCGTTAACGAAAAGTGAAACATCGATCTTTTTTTCTTCATCTTTACATGTCGAACACAGAATAAAACATGAACAAAATTTGAAATGATTTTTATATATGCGCGTGGTAAATACACCATTAACAACAACACTACCAGTTACAGCAGCAGCAACAGCAGTAACAACAAACGACACAACAGCGAAACAGCCAACATTGTGACAGCAAACGAGATGTTTATATGAACGAAAGTGAGAAAAAATGCGGTCAATAAAAATTTAGTTCACAAACTCAATTTTACCGAGATGCAACAGCACAATTGCGAACAACACAACAGCGCAACGCTCTTCGCTTCCAATTATTTTCATCTATTTATCTCTCTCTTTCTTTCTCAATCATTCATGCAATGAACAGAACACAAAAGCACAACACGACATCTAATTTTGAAAACAAAAAAAAAAAGAAGAAAAACTATATGCGCGATCGGCTTTGGTGTTGGCGATGTTCCGTTTTTTTATTAATGTTTCTTTGATCTGTGAAGCATCACAACCAACGAACAATAATGCAATTGTTTTTTGTTTGTTTCGTCAACGGGATTTATAAAATAAAATCAAAGATCTGCTAACGCTGTTCCAAATTATTGTCCAAAAGAGAAAAATAATATGACTGTGCAGCATACGAACAGCAGCATCAATAGCAGAAAACTATGCAAATCGCTAGTGGCATCCCATTTGAAAAGCGCATGCATATTCCTTCCTTTTCTTTATATATGAAAGTACATCAAATTTATAGGCAAGCGTCGGTTTGTTGTGTCTAAAAATGTCACATCAAAACATATTTCGTTGTGCGTCGCCTCTCGTATGTCGCTGGTTTGCCATAATAACGTCGGTGTACTTGTTCATAATCATTAAAATATTTGTTTTTAATTTCACTTTTCTGCATGTCAAACGCGGCCAAATCATTCAGTCGTTTGACTTTTATTATGTGGAGTTTGATCGCACTCATATCTTTGTCGTGTTGCACTGTTTGTGGGCGGCTCACATTCAATTTGCCAGTTTCATTCCAATGACCATTTCAGTACAGACACTGTATACACTTTGAATTTGCAAACCATTTTTAACACACACACGCGCGCGCGCACACACAGACACATAAGTATATAAATATACATAAATTATCCAATGATGATTTCACAAAATTCAATCGAATCATTTCGAACGGCTAATAAATTGTTTATTTGCAAAAAATTTTGTTATAAAAGAGAAACAAAAAAATAATAATAGAGAATCCATTTGCTATTTATTTGTAAGCCCACACACGTTCATGCGTTCCATATTATCCATATTAAAGAAAAAGGCGATTGTCAATAAATAAACTGGTTCAATTGGTGTTTTGTGAATTTGAGTCACATAAATATGGAGTGAATTTTATTAGCATTAGCTCCGTAGTGCACCGATTGAAATAGAGTAGTTTATTACAACGTAACTGTCATCATAATTTCAAAACATACCAATATTTTACTCCCAATTGAATGGTGAATGCTTCCGCTTCTTTTTAACATGGCATCCATTAGAATGCGCAATTTGTGGGTGTGTAAGTAGATTTTGATTCTAATTGTTGTTGTTGTTGTTGTTGAATTGGCTCAAAGAAATAGTTTGCGTGCAGTCAACGCTGTTCGCATCGATTGCGTGTTGCATGTTTTTTCCGCTTCTTCGGCGAGCAAAATAGATAGAGAAAGGAGGAGAGAGAGATGTACGTGTGTCGATCAAGATCGGCCAACAAATGAAACCGATTGTGTTCGGTTAACATTGAGGAAATGTCAAGGTCTTTTGCTATCGCGTTTCTGTGTTTCGCTTGTCAAACATATAAGAAATGCCGTCATATATCTTTGCGATCTGATGTAAGATCATGTTGTCACAGTCGTCCGCTAAACAAGTACGGTCGGATTGTGTATAATAGAAACCAACAAAAACGAAAACAAAACAAAACAAAATTCACAAGATCGCACATACGATGCGACGGCCAACACATTGCACATTGAATTTGAATTTAAAGTCTATGTGTGCCTTGTTTTTTTCTTCGTTTGTGCCTGCAAACACATTCCACCTTTGATAATGAGAAAAATAAATCATATAAATTCAATGGAACCGAACCGTTAGAGCCGCACTCAAATGTATGGAATTCTTTTGTTAATTCCATTTTAATTGCTTTAGCAGTTTTTTTTTATGTTAACAGCGAAAGAGAATATAGCTCGTAACATCGATTGAGAGAAAAAATCTCGCATTACACATACATACAAACATATGCAAACGATCCTCATAAATGAAAAAAGAGAAAGAGAGAAAAAGAAAACATGATTCATAACTGAAGGAATTTAACATGATTGCCTAACCGCATGCTTTTGTTTGCATTCAAATAATGCCACGAAAATGTAATGCTGCTGATGCTGCCATCGATGTGTGTACAGTTTTTCCAGAAGTCACAGTAAAAGATCAACGGCAGCTAGAGAAAAGAAACAGTATAAAAGAGTCAGGCGATTCACCTCATTTCCATTGGGCCTGTACAAATAATAATATCATCGACGTTCGGTGAGCCGAGATAACAAATACAAATGTGGGAGTTTTTGTTTTATCATCTTTTCAAGGCGTGCTCGCGCTTACACATTCTTCGCAGAAAAAAGAAATATTCTCAGTTTTTCTCTCCTTTTCGCCTCTCTGTCTTCCTAATCGTCTCTATCTCTGTTTACATTCTCCAGCGAAATGTTAAAATGTTAATGTTCAGTTTCTTTAACGGCCGCACGAGGTGAATTCATCCATTTAAATGGAATTCTCCGTGTTCTCTGTAATGTGATATCGAAAAATTTATAATTTTAATAATAATCCGGCGTCCATGGTTTACTCTCCACTCTCTGCGCTAATACTAATGCTTAAAAGTGGGTAAATGATTTTGCATTATCAGCATGAATTGTAATAGCACGATGTCGGCACGATCGGACGATGCAGCGTGAACAATTGTTTTGCCGTTTCTTTTTCGCGCTAATACACAGATCTGTTTGTTTGTTATTTTTTGATTGCACTTTTTTCACCACTATTCTTAGAACATTTTGCCATGAAATATGATTTGTTTGCTGAAAAACGAATGGGCGAAATTGCATCAATTTACAAACAGTGTGTTTTAGTGTTTGTTCTCATTTCCTTTATTCAAATTCATTTTAACGTTGAAAATAGGTTTTAACGCAATTTCGTTTGTTTCGTATATGAAAGAGAAAAAAACCGTTTGAATCGCAATATTATCAATTTATCGACGAATTAAAGCCTCTTGACAAACATAAAGACATTTTAAGAAGAAACCGAAGTAGGATGCTTAAACAAATTAACGCGGACGTACTTTTGATCAAATTTATTCCGTTGGCTGTGGAATTTAAAA